AGAGCATAAGTCAACTTTCAATAGCAAACCACTGCAAAAAGGAAAATGAGACAACATAGCCGACCGACATTATCGTAAAATTGTCGATTGAAACAAATTTTGTCAACTCCGCCACGATGCGCAAAATTCGGCGTCGATATGTATGCGTGCTCATATGTATATATTCATGTTTGTCGACAAAGTCGTCATTTGGTTTTTTTCAACAACACAATGTCCGCGCAAACTCGCCGTTATTTCGATGGCTTACCACCATGCACAGAGGTGTGTCAAGTGAGGACTCATAATATATTATTATATTGCTTAATTTGTATTAAAAAACACTAATGCATTAATGACTTATTTTCGTAATATAATTAATATATACGTAAAAATATATATACCAATAAATTCATACCTATGATCGTTTTTAAAATAAATTCGATAAATAAAATATATATTTGATATAATTTTGGGCAGTGCGCCCCTGACCCCTTTTTGCTTGTGATCGTTCAATTATGTTATTTAAGTAACTGAATTGAGATTAGCTAAAATGTCAAATAATAAAATAAAAGAAAAATAAAATTCAAGTTTTATGAGTTTTAGGACTCGAACGCATAGGCTCGTATTCGGATTGTGCTTAACTCCTTCACGCTTACGACCTCAGTCACCTCAGAAGCGGAAACGCGGCCGCTTAGCCACCGTTTTATTGTTATCCTTTGCTCAATAAGCAATTGATCACAGAACGCACATACTTACATAAGTTGGAAAAAATGTTAGCTTTGGTTGCACTAAAGCTATAATACCCTTCAGAAATGCAAGAACTTGATTCCGCTTGTTCAGTTTGTATGGCAGCTATATGCTATACCTTTCTTCACATTTTTAACTTTAAAAGGTAATATCAGCAACTTTAGAAAAACGAGCGGTTCATCGTATATACTTATGTATGTATATGAACAATTGATAATAATTTGACTTTATTCGTTCAGAAATTTCTATTTTGCATATGAAGAGAATTTCTGCCATATGACCACCGCGAGCGGTTCAATTTTGAAAAACTTCTTTTAGTATAAGTAATAATAAAACCATTTCCAGAACGAGTTACTTACCCAACCCTAACAAAAAATTTAACGGAGTAAAACCACGTGACTTAGTTGTACATTGTACATATTAATTTATGGTTGATAACATTCTGACAATTTACTGACAAAGAAAGCGAAGGTCACACAAACCATATACATATATACATACTTATATATGTAACTTATTACCTTCTCAGCTAAAATCATTTAGCATTTAGACGATTGAAATTGAAATGGAGCAACCATGGAGCAAAAAAATCAAAATTGTATAGAATATTAATTTATTTTATGTGAAATCGAAATTATTGGCTTTCGTTATGTGTGGTACGGAGGCATAATATTCAAGTATTTTAAGCGTCAACAGTTGTTCTTGAATTCATCGTATTCGTAAAGGTGATGTTATACTGCATGCTGTTTGCCTTTCGCTTATATGACTACTTTGCCAAGTAAATGTCAATTGTTTCCATAGTGTAGCGATTATTACGTCTGCTTTACACTCAGAAGTTCTCCAGTTTGACCTTGGATGGAACCAAGTGAAACATTTTTTCGTTTTTTTTAATAATTATGAAACTTTTAAACTTATTTTATATAATTATATTTCAAAAATTTATTTTATATTATAGTTGTCTCATTCAATATATTTTTGATACTTTATCACGTACATTAGTATATTATAAAACTGAAAATGTTATATTTATTTATTGTATAGTATGTATGTACTATGAATTTTATATAAATTCGCTAACATCAAAAAATCTTTTTTACTCTGCCAAAAGTGAGTCCACATAGTACGTGTATGCATACAATGTATGTACGAGTATAGATACAATATATGTATGTACATATTGTATACTTATTTTAAACCTATATGTTATTTTCAGGTAGATATATACATATGTATATACTTTTGGGGTAGCTGTGTTTCTACCCTGCACATATTTTTCATTCGTCACATGCATTCCACAAACAGTTCTCATTCAGTTTATTGAATTTGGAAGTTAAATAGTTTAAATTATGCGATGTAGAGTTATCGCTTCTCGGCCTCAAGGCTAAGATCAAAGTGTAGTATCTGTTCTTATCAGCTTAACATCTGATAGATCCTCCATCGGAGGACAACAAATGTTAAACTGATTTTTGGAAATGGACGGAGTGTTTTAGGGGCTTGCTCCACCTCTGTCACGGGTTGGCCCGGTATTGCAGTACCACCGGGATTTCGGCCCAAATAATGAATACATACAAAAATTACAAATTGAGTGTAGAAGGAGCTCTATTATTCGTTCGTTTAAGGAAATGTTGCTCCGGAGTAATTCAGACGGAAAAAGCGCGTAGACGCAAAGTTTAACAACAGTAATTTTGAAGTGGAAATCGGTGGCTCAAGAACATCACAATTAATGACGAAACCAAACATAAACAATTTTAATTTTCCAGCGCAAACATTTTTTTTCAAATTCTTAATATTTTTACCGAAATTAATTAGAATAACACTTATCTCAAAAGTCGTCTGATGGGCGGCGAGATTTGCCGCCGCGTACGTATTGTGTTCCTCTTCATTACAATATCCTGTGTTCTTGTCACTGACACCGTCGTCGACCATATTAAGTTTTGTTTAAGCTATAAAAAGTAGTTTTTGATCGGATTGCGACTAGTTGATGAAAAATTACGACACCTCTAAACGTAAAAAAACATGTGCCAACCGAATCAACGGTAAAGCTCTGTATTTAGTAGGATCAGAAGCATGCCAAGTATGGGCTCCTAAAACTCAGTTTTTTGCTAAAGCTATTTGATGGGATATACATTCCAACTGACGGCGTCCTGAATCAACTAGAACAAATGGTAGTTAGAAGGGGGCAAAGTCTGGGCGGGTGAGCAGGATTTTATCCAAAATTACTTGGGGCCTAACAAGGTGTATTAAGTTTTAAATCGTCGTCTAAAACCTGATTTTATTTATGATGAAATTATGAATAAATACTACACCTTTATTGAGTATCAATACTAGCACGAATACAGTATCTGATGGGTAACCGTGTACAACCGTAGTGACTATCTGCCAATCTCTGTGAATCATGTTTACAAACATATACTAATTATACAAAAGCAAAATTTTCTTTGAATTCAATTATAATGTAAAATTGTTCTTCCAGTTCTTTTATTTTATTTTATTTTTTTATTAAATTAATGTGAAATATGAGGACGTCTCAAAAAAAATTTTAACCCAAAAACAAACATACGAGTATCTTTTTGAAAATGTCTCATGTGTTTAATAGATAAAATATTTCAATTAAATATATCAGTTCAAAGTATCCAGTGTATTTGTCATCCAGTTCGGCTCAGCCGCGGCTATCTTTTCAATAATGGAGTTTACTTGATAACATAACGATTGGATTTGGCGATCCCATTGTGGTAGCACTTCACGACTTTCAAAATGAACAAGACCTGATATTTGATCTATATGGCCGTTCATACGTTCTTCGGTAATCATTTGTGAAGCAATATTTTCAGCTTTCGCAGCTGGTATATCAAGTAATGCGCCTAGCTCTTCGAATGTAATGTTATTATACAATTTACTAGCGCTAAGCAAGTTATGCTCAAATACAGCGCGATCTAGGATAGATGAACCGTCAACGGTTATAGCTTTTTGATGCGGTTGTAGTAGCGCTTCGAATTCTTTTAATTCCGAACGTCTAATTATGCGATCCAAATACATTTTTTCAAGTATAGCATAGGCTGGCAGTTGTTGACAACGTTCATCCTTGAAAAGTGTTGCCAACATGCGAGAACGCTGCTGTCCAGCAGAAGCTAATACTGTACAAATTAAAGCACTTCTTAATGCATCCATACGATCACTTTCGCTCATCGTTTTGCGATAGGACAGTTCGTTATACCGTTGTGCAGCCTCAATGAATTTTCGACGATAATCCAAGACATGAGCGTAACACTTTTTGTAAAGCACCTTTAGGAGAAATTCAGCTTTTATTTATGTTCTTGTGTTTAAATTAAGGTAAAATATTCACCTGTAGTTCTTCATCGGTTGTCTCGGTCTGCAGCAAAGAGGCGCGATTTATATAAAACTCAGCTTGTGCAGAATCATCATCCTTCAAGTAGAGACTAGCTATTTTTAAATATGTTTTAAGCTTATAACCCACCGGGTATTGCTTTTGGCCAGTCTCTAGTGGTATGCCAACCAGCACATTTGCAGCATCACGCCAAAGCTGATTGCGCTCATAAATATCAGCTAAATGTTGTCGTATACCGGCCACTTGTTCTTCAAAAGATATCACACGCGGCTGGACCTTCTCCAGCGTAAAATGAGAGACTTGTCGCGAAATTTCATCAGACAATTTACACAAGGAATTGCTAACATCATTTAGTATTTGCCTTGAAATCACCAAACTGACATGCTCATTGACTATGGCTTCCACAAAGAGCTTTAGGGTGTCCACCAGTTCACTGCCTGTATTATTTAGCACCATTACTAGCAATTGCCGGTACTTGTCTGCTTGCTCTTTGTGTGTGCCAGAAAAGTTAGCGAGCGCCATAAGTTGTGTACGCAGAGCACTTGTACCGATTGACATTTTTTACAGTTTAATCTTCAATACTACTTCCACAAATTGGGTATAAATTAAAAATAGCAACTTATTAATCTATTTACACTAGTTTAGTTCTTGTTTCTGCGATTTGATGTTATCATGCAATTTCTTTACAGATTGACTTCTAATAAGATTGCCAGCTGTTGAAAAAATGTATCTTACCTACATTAGTGCTACCGGATAAGCATTGTATACATTTTAAATTTCACTGTCTTTTCTGAATCGCTTTTTCGGTCTCAATGTTAAATTAATTGTTTATATATTAAAGGCCTCTTTGGAATAAAAATGTTTTAATGTGCTTAATGAAATACGCGTATTTTTAAATAAAAGTATTATCACAATAATTGTGAATTCTGCAAGAAGAACAAGCATGTATACTTTGTTTTTGTTTTTCCTTTTATAAATTTTTAGAACCATTCACAAACTCAATTAACTTTTGTTCACAAAAGTGATTACACATTTAAGTCAGCAGGTGTTATAGTGAAAATTTCCAATCAAGTTTATTTAATAACACCTTTTAAATCATATGTCACAACTCTAATACTTTAACCAGGAGGTGAAAATAAAGAATTGCGAAAGTCGGCAGCGGATGTGCGCTTGGTATGGATTGTATGCATTGAAAATGGATCCATATTCTAGGAGTATTATTTGGAAGACCAATGGCAATATTTGAGAGACCTTTCGGATATAGACACAAACTCGATGACACACAGGCGATAATTTGCGTAATTGAGACAGCACAGGAAGTGAACGGCCACACGGTAATTAGAAAAATCATATCTTCAAACATTTAAATCAGCATATGAGTTATGTTCAGATATGTCTGTAGATAACTAGGTGTGTAGAAATGTATCAGTAATAGAAAAATCAATATTAAGTGACGCCGTAAGGTGGAAATTTCGGGTGGGGGTAAACGCAATGCCATCAAAAAGAATACAGATGAAGAATACAAAATTGTACACAACTATACACACATATTTTAAAATTAGTCTCATCATTTCAGGAGTATTTATTGCGAGTGCAGCGTGGAGCAAATAAAGAAAATTGTTGGAAGATTTTGCGTCGCTACAATGATTTCGCTGAGTTGCACAAATGCCTCTGCATATCAGGTATCGATCTGCCCATGCCAGGCAAACGGCTTTTCGGTAATATGCGGCCAGACTTCATAGCTGAAAGAAGACAAGCATTACAGATTTACATAAATACAGTACTAATGAATCCCATTTTGGCATCGTCATTGCCGGCCAAACGGTTCGTCGATCCGGACAGTTACTCGCAATCCTTTCATGGTAAGTGCTTAAATGTCTGCTACTAAATAATTTATAATTAATTACCTTCGTTGTAACATAGACATGCATACAAAAGTATGTTTCCTAACATGAGCCGCTAGGGTGTCGTTAATTTTAATTGAATATGTGTTATAAAATTAGTGTAAAGTAATGAGGCGCACCCAATCCCATATGAAATAGCGGACATATGTATGTATATCCACCTGGCATAAATTGTTTGAAAGATTATACTCATGTGTCATGCTTCTGAATATGGATAATTTCATATGTATATACAAATATACATATGTATATTATTGTCTTGTAAACGGAAGTATGTATGTCGCGCGTTTGTAGGCACCTTTGTGTCAACACGAACACTTCATACATGGGTATCGCCATGTACATATGTTAGTGTACCAGTTATGCGCATCTGTTGCTTTCTGTATAATAGACGTACATTAATCCTTAAAGCATTGTATCATGCCTACTAAAAATTTATGAAAAATATGATACAGTTTCATACTTGTAGGTATGTAAGTATGTGCATTTGAGGTCTTAGATAGCAATTTAGTAGTTTTAAAAATTTTTGAATACTTCTACAAAACAAATTAAAAAATGACTACAACATCATTACATTTAGATCAAGCAGTGCAAAATGCCATGCTATGTTTACGCAGCGAGGGTATATGGACATTGGGTACCACAATTGGTCCAATAGGTTGGCGTCTACGAAAACATTACTTCAAAGTATCACCAAAGCCACCGGAAAAGACTGGAAACAAGTTACTCGTGAAAAGTGGCTCACAAACACATCAAGGAAAACATTTTGCCTCATCGAGCAGTAATGGTGGCGGGGGTGGTAGCAGTAGTGGATCAATAGATGGTGGCAGTTTAGATCCTTCTGAGTTAGTTTTAGAATGGATCGAATACGGACCCGACAAATATATAGACGAAAAGGAAATGAGTGGCATACTAAAAAGTCTATTGGGTTTACAACATCCACATATCGAGCCAATCGTGTACGCGGCACACAACGAGAATGGCTGTATAGCTGTGCGTAGGTGAGTCACAGAAACCAAAATGCTATTTAATTGCTCATAACTATATAAATACGATAACACTTCCAACAGATTTTACAAACAAGGCACACTGAAAGATATACTTTGTATGGCAACGCCAAAAAATCCATTCCTCAGTAAGTACGGCAATCCTAAGGGCAGAACGGCACTCACAATGAAACAAGTCGCGATCTATGGACGTCAAATACTGGAGGCTTTAATATTTATACATTCAAAAGGATATCCATACGGTATGTATTAAGCAATGTCTAGTTTACGAAGACTTGTAGAAGCAATTTTCAACATTTTCAATTCCTTTCATAACCTAAACAGGTCACTTACATGCTGGCAATATTGTGATTGTTGATGATTGCGTTAAATTATTGGACATCGAGAATTACGTTTTAGGTGTACCCGCATTCTATCGACCTTTCTTTGTGCAGCACAGTAAAATCCACTCAGTGGAAGCTATAGATGTATACAGCTTTGGGCATGTGCTGTTCGAAATGGCAATGGGCTATCCACTACAGGAATCGGTAGTGCGTCAAATTAACGAATGCCCCGAATCTTTAAGTAAGTTGTTTGGAACACGTGGCTAATTTGAATATTTTAAATTTAACCTTTCTATATAGAGAACCTATTGGAGAGTATATTGTCAAAAGAGGCAGTTAGAGCTGGTTTACCATCACTACAGCAACTCATCAGCCATCAGTTCTTTGCGCAACATGCTAGTAGTGCAGCTGGCGGTTTTAGTTGTTGTAATGAAGATTCACGAAGAACGCATTTTAAATTGTCGCTTAACGCAAAGGAATTTTTAAAGCAAGCTGCGCTAAAAGCTGAGCAAAGACTGCGGGAAGAACAAAAATCAGTTAAAAATCAAAAGCGCATTGTGCGAGTGCAGGAGATGATGAGCTCCGAGGAGGAGAAACGAAAATCGAAACAAAGAGCGGTATATATATATTTTTTTTAATAAACTGAAATTATTCTATTTCTATTTTTTAATTGTTTAATAGAAACTTGAGCATAAACAGTCAAAACTGAAACAACAAGGATCATTGCAAGCGGGCAATGGGCGTTTGTCACTTTCCGCAGCTAGTGGATCTGCAGCGCTTAGCACATTTGTTGGTGGTGTGGCACCATTCGAGCGCACGGACAGCGTATTAAGTATGCATATGCCAAAGGAGGTAAATACAGCGCACTCTTCTTCCAACACGGACATAAAATGTATGTAAAATGCATTGTAACTGTTTCAAGGCAACAATATATATAATTTTCGTTTTATTTAGCACCACCACCTACACCGTTTGTGCAACAATATACAGCAGAACAGCAGCAGGAGCAGCAACATTCTGCCACAAAGCAAATCACATTCTTGGCAAATGTCGAACGGCAAGCATCAACACCAAATATTTCCACAGACACCGAGCAAAGCGGTGATCCAACACGCTCGGCACTCTTAGAGTCGATTTGTAAATTCAATCGTGGCTCTTTGCGTAAAGTGCGCTCCAATGACTAGAAATAAGTAAACAAATTATTTAGTATATAGCATATACAGGATTAGACAACTATAACTATGTATGTTATATAGAGTGGTGAAAAGGATAGCAGCCAACTGTTCCTCTTCATATTGTTTCATGCACAATAATTCCAGCCAAATTCAATCACCACCTCCAGAATAAAAGCTTTTATAATATAAACACACTTTCTAAAAGTCAGCGTCTAAATTTAATATTAAATAAATATAGTAATAGAAAGTAAACGATAACATATAGAATTTTACATGTACTAATATCGATGTTAACGTACATATATGTATTTAAACTAAAGTAAAATAATGCTATTCAGCATTCATCACCTGTTTAATGTCATAAAACTACACTGTACTTCACCAAATATGTAAACAAAATAGAGATTAATAATAGAGGAATTCGTATATATATATAAACTATACATATGTATGTACATTAAGTGTGGTGTTGTGTTTGTAAACGAAGCGTACATCTACGCTTTTTACATATTTGTCACAATTAATCAACAGCCATAGAAAAATATGTATTAAGTATTAGTGATTTGTTTTTCTTTTCTTTCAACTTTTTAATTAAAATAATGTTTAATGAAAGCACAATAAATATTTGTGTTCAGATTTTCTTTGTGAAACTCGATGTATTGATTTTAATTGATACTTTGAAAGACTTTTTAAAAAAATTTCAGTTGAAATGCTTTTTTACTTAAATTTAAAAAATCATTTCAAAAATAGTATTTGTGTTTAAAATATTCCTCGAAATAGTGCAAAATTTGCATTTTTTTTAGAAAAATGTTTGTTAAATATGATTTGTATATTCTTCTGAAACCAGCTTTATTATTTGTAATCTTAAGTATAATTTTCTCGAAACTGAAACCGAAATTTGTACATACATACATTTATATACCATAATAGCAGAAAACACAGTTCCTTTATAAACAACAAATTTTTGAAACAACAAAATGTGTATTATTTTCTTTTCTACCCATTCAAATACGCAGATTTTTCATAACGAATTTCATTATTGGTCAAATTAGTGCAGCCATTTTATTTGTGTTCACCAACGATTGTTAATTTTAAAAGTGTTGCCTGCTTTTAGGCGCTCTTCCGCCAATTTAAACAGTTTTTCATAGCAGAGAAAGTAATTAATTAATTAACGTTCTCTGCGGAAACCTCGAATTCGAATATATGTATGTAAGTTCGAAAATTCGTTATTTAAAAATATTTATTTTGCATAATTCAATGAGGAAATAGACTCGATTTTATTAAAAATATGTTTTTCTTTCACTTACTTTTTAACCATTTAAAAGACCGAAATCACTTAAATTTCTACATTTTCTTTAAATAATGTTTCAGAAATTTACCATACATGAGCACAATTTTACCATAATAATATAAACTATTATAATAAACTAATAACTTCGAAAATCAAAAATATTCACCACATATTAGGCGTACTAGCTGTCGCTCTTTAGAAGCATCTCTCACTACTCACCACGACACCTGTAACGCAAACCTATTAAGTAAATTTATATATAAAGTAGAAATATGACGAATAAGCACTAAAAACGCACCTTAGTATACATAATATTTATTCACATACAAATATAAAAAAATCTTTAAAATCTAATCAACGTGCACAAAATATTCAACTAAAATGGTTTTGATATTATTTTTCAAATCAAACTCCTCAAAAATAAATATCTCTTGAATATCTTACAAAAATATACCATCGTGATATGAATTAAATTTGTATGCTATACTAATACATATTTATGCAAATATGTCTACAAAATTAAAAATTAAATTAAGTGAAATTTACAACTATTACTCAGTGCTTTTAGCCCCAAATTATATTTCCATAAAACAATTTTATGGGATTGTGACATTTGAAACGAAGATTACACTAAGCAACGTTATATGTTTTTGTGTATATTAATTATTTGGGAACTCAATTTAATTATTTCTAATGTATTATTATGATTGCAAGTATTTTTATTAGTATTTAAATATATTATTTCTTTTTTATGATTACTTCCAATTACAGATGTGTAGAGCTCACTGATTATAATATTTATATATTTATTGCTATATAAATAATATTGGAAGTAACATGTATATATTTTCACCATACACATTCTAACATTGATTAAAAGTTCTTGAAATTTCTTTAACAAATTTTGTAAAAAAAATATTTGTTTTCAATTTCGATTCGATTATGTTCCTCGGAACAGAAAAAATTTGATTCCTACTTTAAAGCTAAAAAGCACAAGAGTTTCCACCTCGAATTGCTTAGAAAACAGAGCTAAACTGGCAAACAAGACATACCGAATCCGATTGTTTTTACCGCATTAAATGGAAAAAGATATTTCAAATTATAAACATTTTTATAATTACGATGTTTATGATACCCAAAAGTAAACGTCGATGACGCCATAAAGTATATACACATATGTATATATGTATAAACGATTAGCGTGACGAGCAGAGTCCGCCTGCATGAACTGCACGTGAACTTATTGAGATATCAATCTCAAATTTTGCACACGTCCTTTTCTCCTAAAGATATGTTTACCCTCATACTCTCTAAAAAATACACCTGTGAAGGGTATATAGCTTCGGTGCAGCCCAAGTAAACGTTTTTTCTTGTTTTTTTATATTTATTTAATAATTATTATTAATTTTTTTCTTATGTATTGTATAATAAAATTTTAATATCTGATGGTTAAAAAAACACAAAATATTTTGTTTTCAGTTCAAATTTTTATCTTTAATGCAAATAACAGAACTGATTTTTGATAATACTCTAAAAGTGTAAATGAAATGAATTACATTTGCTAATTCTTTATTTATTTCGAAGTAATGCATATATTATAAATCCAACTATTTACAAGTCCAATTCAGTGTTGGCGCAATTATATGTATGTATATCTAAGTAATTATTATGTAAGTGTGTGTGTGTATATGTTTCTGTATTACTGCATCTAAATGTCGACATTAGTAGAAAAATTATAACTTATTTTTTTAAGACAAAATGTGTGTGTCAAAACTCTATATACATTTATATATGCATTTTTAACGTATTTTTTATTTATTTTCATTAATTCCAAATTTCACAGAAACCTATGTATTGTATTTAAATTTAATAATTTGTTATCAACACAGAGCTTAACTTATGATTTTGTAATATATTGAGGCTTATTTCTCTACGTACCGGTCAAGTGCTGTTACTTCAGCATTGTGAACAGAGTTTCATGCTGCTACAACAACAACAACGACCTAATTTAGTCCGTTGCATCACCAATCAAAAAGCAGTATTGAGGTCTATATAACCGGCACGGACCTGCATTTTTATTTGGCCGCTGTAGCATTGCAAAAAGTACAAGTATTTACAAGTACAACAACAAAAACAAATGGCGAACTTTACATTTCAGTGAGTTTTCTGTTCTCTTCTGATGCCGTTCAATATAATTTTATTCATTCAAGCTTATTTGTGGAATCAATTATCGTTTTGTAAAAAATATGATTATTTATATAAATATTGTATATTTATTTTTTTATGGCAAATTAAAAATTGTAAAATTTTAATATATATTTTTTATGCCAAATTAAGAATTGTAACCGAAAAACTTTCGTAAAACAATGCAATTAGCTTATAAAAATATATACCTACTACTATCAATAATTACAATCACTATTCTCAATCGTTCAATCAACACATTTCAGTTCACCAATGTGCCAACACTGTCAAAATCTATGTATGTATATGTATGTGTCGATTATCCCGAACAATCACAATCAGATAACTTTCTTTACCAGTTCGGTATGCACTTATAAATTACTACTAATTATAATAATTACATGTATGTATATGTGTGTGTTTTAGCATATATGTATGTATATCCTTAAATACAAGTCTTATACTTCAAATTAACTAGTGATAAATAATAACATATTAAAGTATATGAAATATGAAAATATACATAAAAGTAAATTTAGGTATTTACATAGATTAGCATTAATGTGTACGTATGCATACATACATATATTGAAATTAAGTAACAGTAAATGTGTATAGTAAAATATTGTGTACTAGTATTTAATTTTCGCAAATGAGTACTAAGTACTAAGAGCTTTATTATACTCGTACATATGTATGTTTGTATGTAAGCAAATTGCTATATATATATGTATATGTATTTGTAATGATGATGGCGAATTATGTAGCTGAGGTTGACGAAGCCAAGCGCGTGGTTGTTTACAAATAAAAACTTATTTTTAATTTTATTTTTATACTTATATACATACAAACAAATATTTTCGTAATTGTTGTATTGTTGTAATAGTATTAAAATTGTTTTGATTGTCCCTTTGTAATAAGTATTTATATATGTATGTAAGTATGTAAGTGCGTAAACTTCTATATCTATGTGTTTGTACTTTATACCTGAAATCATCAATTTGAATAAGTCTTATGTCGTATTATAATTAAATTTATGTATGTAGCAGATATGTACATACATACATACATATACATATATAATTGCAAATAGTATATTTAGCATATATATATATACTCACATAAATAATATTTCTACAAATGTGTCGTAAATGGATTCTTGACTGTGTATATGTATACTATATAAAAATAAATCAAATAAAAAATATTGCAACACACAAATAATTAGATTTAATATATAGCTTTTCAAGTTTATCAAATTTTATATAAAAGTGAAGTTAATGTGAAATTGGTATAGAATTTTAATTCTATCGGAAACTATTAACAGTAATTTATACTAAATAATAACTTTGGTTTAATTAGATCGAGTTGGAATACGAGTATATTACATAGATATTATATTGTGGGGTTACGGCTAGTAGTCTGGGATTTTCAAAAAATAATTTAAAATATATATTATAATGATCCTAAAACCATTATTCAGTTAGTAGAATAAAACCAAAGTTTTCTCTGACCACTCCGAGGGTGTGTCGGAAGCGTTCCACTGCCGCAAAGTCTCTTTGTATGTATGGCAGAGATATATGCTAGTCCATACCCCTGCGCACATCCTCGCAATTTGAGCAACTCTTGTGGTAAAGAGAGAAATAAACTGAAGTTTATAAATAAATGTTTCATAAATCAGTAAAATATTTGTAAAAGCATTCTTCAACACTAATTTGAGCACAAACTACTGGCAACTTCTAATGAAATTGCTTTTATTGTTTATTTTTCTCCTATTTTGATATTTTTGTCTTTGGAAAACAAAACTTTTTCCAGCATTAACTTCAATATAGTTTTAATATTTGAATTTATCTTTGAATATTCTAATATATCGTACTTTTTTTGGACATTATGGATGTTGGCGGAGAGGTACGTAGGGATGTTTATATTAGCAACGTTAGTATACATAAATAGAATAGCGTCTCATATGATCTTATAACACAACGAAAGAATAATATTTCTATCCAATATTTTGAAAAATAAGAAAATAACATTAAATTTTTCAAAAAGAAATGGAGTTCAGGGGCATTACACACGAGAAGCTGAGTAGTTCGAGCGAATCGACTCTACTTAAAGAGAATGAACTCATATTTTATATCACGCACCGTGCGTCCTCCTCTACATCACGCAGACGAAATTTTAAGGTTATCGTGTTTGATATCCCATATAAAGGCTCAAAAAAACGGGGTTTCTACATTTATTTAACATAGTGAATACTGTCAGTATTTACTGTGTTTATTTAAATATGCATATATATCCATAATATGTGTATATATGTATAAACTTATATAAATAGTTTCTAGTTAATTTGTAACCATAACCGTGTCGTATGTTCGGAATTGTAAAAGAATCATTTCTGATAGAGATCTTCATTTAGAAAGCAACCAAATCTTACAATATTCTGCTGAAAAGAAAATTTTTCATTTTAAAATTTATGGGTCATTTGGGCGACTCATAACCTCGAAGGCTATTTCATTTGCAGTAAAACTTCAATAAGGGATGTAACCTCGGCCAAACAATTGTCATGGTGTAAGCGGCAAATTAATTGTATCTATGGTTTCCGTATACCCGTAACATGTTACACAGAGAATAATAGCTATGTTCATCTAACAGCATAAACCAAAAAGAGATCGTTAATGTTTTTTTTTTAAAAAAAATATCTGTCCGTAAAACCATCCATTTTTTGTAAAACAATATTTATGTATAAAAACGTCCATGTTCATATAATACAAAATTGCCACAATCCAAAATATGCAACATTCTTTGGAGATAGATATTAACGGAATACAAGCGGTCTTTTATAAACATTGATTATTATATCTATCTCTAGCCCCTCTATAGTAAATATACAGATTTCCGTCGATTCAGCTGACTTTAAAAGAGATATCACGGATAAAAAATAAAAGAATGGAATGCAATAAAATAGGTGCATTACACCCACAGCTAAACATATTATATTAATGTAAATTAGCAATAAATAAATGGGCACAATCAGTCCATAACTTTATTATAGCGCGTACCGATATCTAAGGTCATACCGTTTTGTTAGGGATATACACAGGCATCACTAAAACTTAACTTTTCTTTAATACATTTTGTCGCTTCCGTCCGAAGTGCCTTTCTTACCTGTTGAAATTCAAATTAGTTAATTATGCCCAACCACAATAGTGCTCGTATGTAAATATACATATGTTTTGCCGAGCTTAACATTTTTACCGCTTTTGATATATGCACATACAAATATAATATTTTATTTACGTCATATCGATTTAACATTTGGCCAAATTCGTATATCAGGTCAAAATGCGACTGCACTCGGTTAGTTCTTGATGGCAGAGAATTGGTCTAACCTCGTAAACTTGTGTCTAGGTCAGGCACGCGAAGAGGTAGAAAATTGTGCACTCGTAATTCTCAAATTGGCAATTTGCATTTGCATTTCCAAAATAATTCGTATCAATAAACCGCGGCAATAAATTTAATTCAATTTGTTATTTGTGTGTGTGTGAGTGTGTGCGTCTGTATTAGGTTTATATGCAGAATAATGTGGTGTTAGTTTGTATACACTCACGATTGTCAAATTTTGATTAATATCGCTAATGATCGATGGCATTAGGTGTAATTGCCATTAATCAAACAATCAACACAACATAAGCAGTTAAATGACTATGCCCGCCTAGCACGCAGCCTTAAACGTCACTCACTTATTTACCATTTATTTATGCGTAACTAAGCAGCGGCGAGCCACAATTAACCCTCTCACCCGTTTATATACCATACCTATATTAGTTAAGTGCCAATTCATTTATATGTAATAGTTTCTAAATGAAAATGTTTAATTTTTGCAGCGACGTGGTTCCCTCAAATCGGCGACTGGACGGAGAATAAGTGCGGCATTTACAGTTCCTCAATCGCGGGTAAGACGATGCCTTTGTCACAACAAAACAGCAGTGTAAGTTCACCACTATCTATGTGTTTGCAGCCAGTTTTGAAATATCTACCCACGTATCGTCTGGATCCGAAGTATCCGCTAAATAAAGAGGTATGCGAGAAAATTATGCGCGCCGTGATGGACAATGCATTCGAAAATTTTATGTATTCACCCAAAACGTCACTAACATTGTGTGCTCAAATCAGCGAAGAGATTAAGAATCGCATTAAAGCGCAACACTTTGATCGGTATGTACTGGAAAATTGGAAAAAATATATAAAATCTGACTAGTCGTGGGTTACCGCATTCTTCTTTATTTGTTTACCCTTCGAAGTTGTAATTGGGTTTTTTTTTTTTTATGTACTGTATTAACAATAGTTTATCTTTATTCTTTATCCGAAGTCCTTTCACATCCTTGTGAATATATACTGATCACTAAGGAGATAAAGCTTTAAGGAAGCTATCGAATACTACGAATCAATTCATTGGTCTATTCCCATTATAATTGGGCTTACATAACCGGAACGGACCCTAGTTTATATCCGGAAAAGGATTGTCAACTCGGTCTAAATTATTTGTTGAATGTTTTTTGCCGCTACCACAACAACTTAGTTTAAGGAAGAAATCAATTCAACGTAAATTTTTTAGACGCATTTCATTTAGCAGCACTTTCTAAAAGATTAAAGAACGCTTCTACATGCATTGGATTTAAAAACCGGAGCAGACCCGGAGATATGTATGTACATATGTACATATATCTGAAATGTATATGAGACTTTGACCTCAGCAAATAGTATTTAGGTATTGTGTCATGCTGCTACAACAAATATGTAGTTGTAAGAGGTACTAAAAGAGAGAGAGAGAGAGTGGTAGACTGAATGATTTATTATTAAGGTTGGTCTTTAGCTATATGCATTCGCAAAGGATAATTTAAGGAGAATAATCCCATGAAAGATCCATTATTTTATTCAACCATAAGCTTCAGATTTGTACAAAGGTGTGGACTTCCTCCAATTTTTTTGTTATATTTTGTGTTCAAATTTAATATTTTATAGGTTTCCTTAGAATATATTAGCGAATGACTTATTATACAAAATATTTTTGATGACAGACTGTAAAGTATTCTCAAATCGTCGAAGTAGTCAATGACCGGACACATATTAAACAAAAGTGATTTGAAAAAATAAAGATGCCACTGTCCTATTATAACACCCTTTAAATAACCAACCATTTTAATAATTAGTACCTTTCTTTTGTTGTTGTTGTTAACACCTTTGTTTGTGCTTTTGTTTCACCGCAAATCAAATGCTGACGACTAGCTTGCTAAATTTTTTTTTAATTTTAAAATGATAAACATTTTATTTTTTCAGTTACCGTTACATTTGTGTCGTAACCATTGGTGAAAAGGTAATGCAAGGATACTGTTCGCTAGTCAATTTTCTTTGGGATGCAGAAAAAGATGGTTACATTTCCTACGTTCATGATACCCCAAAATATTTCGGTATCGCCACACTTTACTACCTTTATTATGATTAGCTTCAATTCAAAATGGCTTTAAAGAAATTTCATGCATATATTAGATAAATGTTATTATTGAGAAATAAAAAATTATGTTTGCAAATCTTGATATCAAAATGAATATTTATAAAATCAGCGATGGAAATATTTAGAATGAGTAAATTGTATGGCATCTATATGCTATAGTGGTGCGATCTGAACATTTTCTTCGGAGATTGTACCGTTACCTTGGACAATATTCCATGCCAAATTTAGTAGGGTATAATTATCTATTGAATTGCGCATGAATGAAGTTACTAACTTAACTGGCGGAAATAATGCAGTTTTGGTAATAGGTTAATGGATTTAATACTTCGACTTTGCTAAGTATATTCATATATTCCAACGTTCGAAATCTTAGATATTGTGCATATACATATGTAGGTATGTATGGTGGCAGAGTAACTAGTATATTGGACTTACCTAAAATGTTGCTTCTGTATTTACATAGTTGGGTATTAAGAAGAAACTCGTTTTCAGAGGAGACACAACACTATCACAGTAATAACACAAACATATTTGATATTTATGGTTTATTTAATTAAGTTTTACGTAATGCAGAGAGTATATTATTATTAATATTACAATTTATGCACTTTCCAGTTCATTTTACTTTTTCATAAACGACTTTTATGTATTTGTATAACTTACAAGCATGCCATTAAAAATATTTATTTAAATAGTTTAATTGTATATGCAAATCGATAACTTCAAAATCAATAATTTACACACAGGAAAAATTAAATATTCAATAATTTAAAAATATTATACAACTCATATATTTTTTGTTTCACCTGGCAAACTCATATTTGCAAACGTGGCTCTTTTAAGATTAGTGTGCAGTGATAGCAAATTCACAACAGTAATACATAAGACAGTATTAGACGTCCGTGCGCAAATTTAAGAAAACAATGTAGCATTCGAAAAAACCCTTTATATGTAGCGATATATTTTAACCAAATGCTACACCTGGTTCTCTTAGCATGGCTTCGAAAAACATTTACTACACCCACAGACATTGGAGAAAGTTGACACAAGAGGTCACAATCGGACGCACTTTCATTCGTTTGGCACTCGCGTCTTTGTGTAGGCGACAAACAAGTAATTACTCGCATAACAAACTGAAACTGTATATTTAGGCAATTAAGCACTGAATTAATTATGCCATATAAAACCACCGTTAAAACTAATTTTAATGCAGTCAGAGAAGTTTTAACTACTTTTGATTGTACCACCAAACAGCAGCCGTACCAATATTAAACAATTCAAATAGAACAAAAGTAACTGCTCCTCATATACTCGCATTAAATTTTTGCCACATATTTATGTTTGAGAATACTTCACTTTCAGGGAGCTATTAGTTCGTTTAGCCAATTCTAATTTTGGAAAAGGTTTCATAAAGCACCCACATCACACCACACCACACCAGCAATTCGTACAAATACTTCACTTTTAACCATCTTTGACTTTGAATTGCATCTTAACCGCACTGAAATTACGGCGATAAAGGGACGAACTGCACTAGTTGTGAACTGAACTAAACCATTCTTTGATATGGATCATATTGAACTTCACTTTGTTCTGACAATTTTTGGTGTTTCAGTAAACAAAAACAATATTTCTAATAAAAATAAATAATTGACCAAACATGGTAAGTATTTTTCTTACATTCAATATGTAATAAACACAAACTCAAATATAATAAAATAACACAAACAAATTTCTGTGATCAACTTTGATTTAAGAAAAAAAATACACTTGCTGGAGAATAAAGCTCACCACTGCTAAATAGCCACAATGCCACAACGCCACACTACATCACCAAAATTAAACTTTGTTAGAAGCTATCATTTTTGTTCACCACGCGTACAAAATGAAATGAGATTATATTTTTTTCTTTCTATAAAACGTAACACAATTTAGCTTTGCTCATTTTATACAATTTTCTCTTTGTTCGAATCTCATCTTTACACAAAAATTAAAAAGTTTGATAGTTTTTAGAAATTATAATTATAAGCATTAATCTGCTGCGTTTAGATGGCATCATAAACGATCAAATTAAACTTCACAACATTTCCACAGCAACTTATTCACTTTTTTAACTAAAATCATGAACATTTTTAAACATTATAAATTTGTATAAGTGCTTACCTACTTACTAAACTAGTTGATTGTTTGAAAAATGTTATTGTGTGGCAAAATAAAGTGCTGTGATAGTAAGTATGCGTCAAAATACTACAGACTAATTTAAGCGAATAAAATATTAAGACCCAATAAATAGTGCATAGATATAATTCAATTTTTAATTTTAAGTTAAGAGTTTCAAGAACCTCGTTCATTCATTCAATTCATTTTAAAAAAAAATTATATACTTTTATCAGAGACAAATGAAATGACAGACTGCTAAGCCATCAGCGGTCTCAACTTTTTATTCGCTTTCTATAAGGAGAATATGTAGTTGTAGAAGCAATACAGCTAACTTATTTTTATTCAAAATTTGTTATTTCCGGGTTTAAACCTTAGCCCTTCGGTATGTTTAAAATTTCACTACCGACGCGATAAAAGTACTTCCATATTCACTATTCTAGCGCACTAGTGATTTACAATCAATAAAAAGAAATCGGCGACTGACTACGCGTTATCGATTTTAAGCAGTTCCACCTCTTACGACTACTACCACAAGATGATCTTCCTTTAGACCCTCCTCAGTTACACTCTGGCATGTACGCTTCAGTAGTTCAGTAGAAAAGTCACATGGTGGGAAAGCATATAGCACACCAGTGGCTTCAGTATCTTTGTTCAACAGTGAGATAACACCGGCAGCTTCCTTTTGTTTTAAATACGACACTAAATTTCGTAGTGGACGCGTTTGCACGCTGCTATCCTCCAGAGTGGTTGCAGCCGACGACGCTAATCCTAAAAATATTGCATGTGACGATGATGAGCTAATGCGCTTTTGCACATCCTCCAATTTGGGTGGATCGAGACGCAAACGCTGTGTAATACGCAAGTTATGCTTTCCTTCTTCGTCGCGCATTAAAGAGTCGACAATATCCGCATCACCATCAGTCATATGGAATTTTGCCGGAAATAGTGAACTCTTTAGTATGAGTGCGCCCTGCCATACAACAGTGCACTTACGGGCAATGTCAGGCAGAGTACGTGCGGTACTCAATGCACCGTTTCGTCGTGAAGAAGAATCGGAGTCCGACTCGGGTGAATGTGCGCGTTTGTGAGGTGAGCGCGAACGTGAACGATCAGCACCGGGTTCACGTGAACCAGAACGTGCTCGCTCATATGAATCGCCTGGCGGACGACGCCATTCATCTTCGGCTCCAGCAGGTGGTGGCATCGATGATGTTGAACTGCCATGTATTGGACGATGCACATCATTATGATAAACGTGATATGAACCACGTCCACGACCGCGGTAGCCACCACGACCCCTATAACCACCTCGTGGTGGATAAGGTGCATACCCACCTCGTGGAGCATAATGTGGTGTCTCTTCATAGTGGTAGTCATATTCTGGACGCCTATATTCGGGTGCCTCATCATAGCTCTTTGATTTAAATGGTACAGCTGGGGTAGTTCCAGGTAATTCAGCAAAATCTGTACGCAAACGACGCTCTGGTCCACCCAAAGGAAAACCGCGCATTTCTTTCACTGCGGCAGAGGCTGCCTCGATGGTTTCATATTGTATATATGCACATGTCTCGCCTTTTTGATATTCTATTTTCTTTATGACACCAAAACGATCAAATTCCCGTTCCAATTGTGTAACAGAAGTCCAAGCGCCTAGACCACCGATCCATATACGAGTAGCTGGTGTTACTTTACCGTAACCAATCTTGCATTGGAACTTTCCAATATATTGACCGGAAAGCTCTATCTTAGCACGGTGTGCCATGTCTAGATTTTGATAACGTACGAAAGCAAAAGCATTACCAGTACCTGGTGGGGGTCGCTTTATATCGATGTCATCAACAATACCGTATTTACCGAATATACGACGCAACTCTTCATCCGAAATATTCACTTCTAAATTACCAGCAAATAGAGTACGTGTTGCAAGTGGGTCGTCTTCTGGTTGAACATGATGCAAATAATTTGGAAATTTATCTTTCTTACTCTCAGGCTTCTCGTATGGAACATGTGGACGAGGTCCCATATGACGCATGGGTGCATATTGATGTGGTGGTGGTGGTCCATGCATATGTGGTGGCACACGATGCATTGGTGGTCCACGTGGAGGAAGTGGATATTCGTGATGAATTGGTCCGCGATATTCCCGTGAACGACCATGCGGATGCATCGGTGGTCCATAACGGTCATACGGATCGATCGGTGGTCGACGATGTTCTATTGGACCAGTCGGACCCATAGGCGAACGTGGGTAATGATATCGATCGTAGTCAGGCGGAGTAATCGAACGTCCACGAGGCCTTCAAATTGTAAACACGTAGAAGAAATAGATTAATAAAAAATTAAAAATGTATAATCAAAAAAAATTTTACACACACCTGTATTCATTATGTGAAGATGATTCGTAAACTGGTTCTACCAATGCCATTTTATCATACAATACAATACGCGGCTTATGATGTTTTGCTTCACGAGCATCCTCAGATGTTCTAAAACAAACGTAGGCAACACGTTCGTCCAAATCATGAGATATACGAATGCTGAAATCGCCGAATTTTTTGTATTCACGATATAATGTTTCCTTAATGAAATCGTCAGAAGCTTTGGGATGTAAAGCACTAACACATAACACCTTGTACGTTGGCCTTTCCGCCACAGGTGGGGGCCCACGTAAGTATTCTTCACGATGTGGTGAAACACCGTACCGTGCTCGTGGACTTGGTGACCGACCTATCCGACGTCGTAGGCGATCTGGAGACATGCGTTCGGGAGAATCGCCTGGAACGCCGCTACCATTATCATAACCGCGACCCATAATTGTTCTACCGTGAGAAGATCTTCCCAAATGATTGTTCCTGGTTGGTGAATCTCCTGAAGCACTGCGTTTCATACTATGTAGTTAATAACAATATTCTTAATTTCAGATGAGCTTCTATGAATGCTCAAAAGAAGGTGGCTGTACCTGCTGAAAAATTATCACTACTCTCAGTAGACTTTTTGTATTTCCCTGTAAGAAATTAAAAATTACATTGTCATTAATACAATAACAAAAACGGGGATTATAAACTAAAAAAAATGCAATTATATTACATTTTTTATTTTAATCTTTCCCAACTAACTAAATAAATAACCTTGCTCTAAAAAATTGTAAAAGTACCGGCGTTATTATCAGTTCCGAGTTACAAGCATTAATCTCATAAATAACCTGTTTAAAAAATTTACGATTGCAAAGCATAGAACGAGACCAAAAATTATGTATACTGGTGCATATGAATATACGTGTATATGACTATATGTACATTCATATATATATGTATATTTGAAAATAGTCAAAATGAGAAAAGTTCCGTGATACACAATTTTTGAATTTATGCTGTATATATAATTGTATATTTAGAAAAAAGTATTATTTTTATTCAAAAATATAAATGTACACATTACTAATGCAAAAGAAACTGACCTCCAAAGCGCCAGCCGCCTAGAAGTAAATTTTCACTGTGTGCTTTACACTTAACCTACCAACTTTACTCAAGTGCAGAAAATTCAAAGAGGTCATCGAATATACAAAGCATTTTGCATAAAATTTTTTTTAAAATAAATTATTCAACTTTTTGTTCTAGTTTTATATTTATTGACTTACGTAAAATTTTAATATTGAATAAAAAAGTATGAAAATTTTTCTCTATACCCTCATGAAAATAAATTTCCAAAATGGCGTCTTCTATGCACAACTTGAAAATATTTTTACACATTATATGCTTAAAATTAAAGGAAATCTCTCTCCATTTATGCACTTTACACTCACCGTTTAAAAATTTACACAATTTTGTTGAAATTCTTCCACAAATATATAATATTTTACTCAAAATTCACACAGTAAATTAAAAATGACTGTACGCGTTCACAAAGCCACCAGATTTGACGCAATCAATTACAGCGCTGCCACATTAAATTTAAGTTATGCTGCCACCTTATTATCTAAGCACAGATTGCCAGATTATCATGTTCTTAAAATATTTTTTATGATATCGAAAATGTCTTCAGCTCTGAAGGAGATTAATTAATCAGAAATTTTATGAAAACTAAGAAAATGTCGTTTTATTTACTTTTCCATCTAAGGCGCACATACATTAACTCATTTTTATAAATTTAATTATTTTGAATATTTTGGATACACAACTATAATATTAATAATTCAATATAATATTTAGCAAGCCTGAATAGTGTTCATTAAAGTTGTAATATCGTTGAGGAAGATATGGATGTGCGCCACTGTATTATAATTAATTTTTTTATATAATTGATTTGAGATTCGGCAACCCTATTTATCGGTCAATTCCCTTCATTTTAATTATTTGTATTTTTAATGTGTTTATTTTATAAATAGTTTGACGAAAAGTTTTCATATATACAAAGAATGTATACTTATCAAAGCGACGATGCGTAAATATCACCAGCTTTTGTTAGTTATAATTTCTTGTATAAGCATAATTGTCTTGCTTACATACAAGAGTGAAAATTCACGTTTAAAAGATGTTCTAAGTGCAGTGCACTTCTTTAGTCGCAAAGACGCCGATGAATTGCGGTTATTGAATAACTTGACTTCAGCAGAGGAAGACATCATTGACTTTAATCGACCATTGCCAGTTTGGCAGCTGGTGGGAGACTCGTTTCATGCATACGCCTCTTACTATCAACGCAATGAACTTATGTCTTCCGGTGGTGAAGTTTTAACGCTTGTAACCGGTAAGACAGGGGCAGTAGTAAATTTTCGCTGTAAAGCACACTACGACGATGGACGCGATATTCAAGGCAAATTTCGATTTCAACACTTGAATCAAGAAGATAAAACCGATGCATTTATAAATTATTTATTTTATTGCCGTCTTAAAAATGACTTAGGAGAACCAAATAGCATTGTTTATACCGATCTGTCCGGTGATGGCAGTAATGCGAATCACAGGTTACGTTTACGTTTTGTAAAAAATGCAAAGGGAAGTAATGTACCACCAACACAGTTGGCTATTTGTCTGGATTTGGTCTCATTTAATATGAGCAGTAGTTTCGGCAAAAGTTATTCTAAATTATTAGAATTCTTTATACATCATTATGTTGTTGGCATCAACCAGTTCATCGTTTACAACGGTGATGAACTGGCCGAAATACTTCTACAAAAGCTAATGAAACATAAAAATATTCATCTACAATCGTTGCCTTTCAATTTCCCATTTGCAAACAACAAAAATAATACACATAATTTGCGTGAACTCATTAAAACAGATTGCTTACTGCGTAGCATGCATAAAGCAAAATATGCTACTTTGCTAGAACCAAACGAATTTTTCTTTCCCAATGCCAAACTAAGTGACGACAATTCAGTACTATATTCATTGAATTCATATAGTATCTCAGAGACTATATATGAGTTACAAACTTACTCGGTTTGTATTGATGAAAAGAATGAATTACTCTCAAATAATAGCTTTTATGACCCAGAAGTGGTGCAGCCACACAAGATTAATATTTTCAGACCTGTGATTCCTACGTCAACGTCAGCTATAAGTAGTACTACTAATTTAGCTCCGTCATTAGCATTTGCTCATAGATACACCGACTGCGTACATGTGGGAAATGATGGCCTGCACATGTTTCAAAACTTGCTGCGCCAAGATTTCATGAATAATTTGATTGAAATTAGAGAAGAAGTACGAAAGTTAATGTATAATTAAGCTAACGATAAAAATTCATGAATTTAGACATAGTCAATTTGGGCTGCATTAAGAACGATTAGCTACATTGAGCATACGATTATTTTTAGTAATATACATTAATGAAACTTATTACGAGAGCAATGTTATTTATCGAATAAATACTCATAAACACATCTATGTAGTTGCATTTTATTACATTAATGGTATTTTTATTAATATGTTGAAAAAATTGTATTCAGTGGGTATATAAGGATTACAATTTAGTTCAGTCGCTGCATTATTGACGCATTCTTTAGACCAGCTAATTCAATCGTTGCAGCTTCATCCGTTAGTTCACGGGTTGGGAATGAGGACACTAACCGAAAATTACCCTCCGCATATTGTGGTCTGGCACTATATAACAAACAATAAATAATTAGTATCGCTTTTTATAAAATTTGTTCTTTGTTTACTTCATAATATAGCGATGTATATCAGCAACTGTGTGATTGAGATTGAACTGGGCGGTTAAACGTGAACCGTCGGCTAGACGTATTTGTAATGTTGTTGTTGGCTGAGAAGAATCAATCTTAAGCTTAGCTTTAGCCTCACTTTCATCCTCTTTGACATTAACAGCTGTTGTTGGTTTTGCAGTATTTGGAGTTGGTGCTACTGATGCTGCTCCTTCCACGTTAGGTGTAGGACTAAATAAAGTTAAATATATAATTATAGGCAATCTTTACTAGGGCCAGTAACAATTTTTACCTTCCCAATGTATGGCCGGATCCTTTAAATTTAGGTAGTACAGTTTTCCTTTTGTAATCCTCGTGACGATGATCCTCCACGTCAACATTAACGACCCATCCCATTTCAAATAATTCATGAGGTATTTCCCTGAATTGATGAAATAGGTACTTGAACTGAGTTATTCGGAATAATAATATATTTACCCGCGCATCACAGTTTCTAAGAACTCTTTATTTTCGGGATCATCATATAGACGTAGTTCACCATCATCAATGGAAAATCCTTGGCTCCATAATTTCAGCACAACAATAGGTCTCTTCTCACCTGTTGTATTTGCATCGTCCTGCTGCGAACCTACGACCGAATGGTCTGTATCGGTCATGCCCAATCGTACACCTTGACCCCATTGTACAGCACCAGATGTTGATGGGCCGCTTGAAGTACTAGCAGATTCGCCGGTGTTGTGTTCTTGTGCCATACGAAACATGTCAGTTAATTGTTCCCGGAAATTCTTACGTTTTGGTGGTCCTAAAACTTGCTGTCCTGAACGTTCGGAACCACCAGCATAAAACGCCTGCCCCTCTTCTTCATTAGATGTACGCTTTGTCATATCATTTAGTGTTGCTACTCTGATTAGATTATATATATATATAAATTTAGCCACCAAAAAGTCGAAATTTCATATTTACTTTGGCTTATCTGAGCTTTTCTTAGTAAAACTGTCTGCGGCACCGGTTTCTGGTCGTACCCGACTACTTGAATTTGTAGGTGCAGGTTCAATATGCGCTCCGCCTGAATTTCGTTCGATTGGTTGTTCATCGCTTCCACCCTCTCCATCAACTTGATTGCCAAGAAAATTGGAAAGCGCATCCTGAAATCATATTATATGGTAGCATTACAGCCGGATGAAAGTTCTTCACGTTTTCTCACCTCTAGCGACCAATTGGAACTGGCTAAATAAAATCTGGCGACATTTTCATCTCCACCGCTTATTTCAATAAACTGTGCGATCAATTCATCGTTGTTAGACATATTTTTAGCATTCAAATCTTATTTTCTTCTCGTAACACAGAATTAGTAAATTAAAACAATGATTTCACAGATTTAATACAATTGATCAATTGAGGGTTGCCAGACTGCACTTATAACTGATAATGCAATGTGATGCCATAGATTTTATAATTTTTAAACGTCAAAAAATGGCTTTGAGAAGCAAATAGAATATTTTTAATTAAATTATAGATTCATATTAATTATAATTATATATACAAAAAATAGTTTTTTGAATATTTTGGCATTTTTTCATGATTAACTCCCCAATAGTCAGTATATTATATTCGAGATTTTTACATAAGTGAATATCGATATCGAACTATTTAGTTCAACTAATTATGACTATCCAACATTAATATTTTAATTCACCATAAAGTATTCATCGCGACTGTTCAGGTTTTCACAGCTCTTTGACAGCGGATATGTGCAACCGGAATTTCCGGGATATAAATATGGCTCAAATTAGTAGTTGCTTGGTTTATTTTCACTGTGACTAATTTATTTAAAGTACTTTACAAATCAAAAAAGAATATTTTTTCATATTTTTTGAGAAATATATATCTTGCCTTTATCTCCAAATCTCGAAATGGAGAAATATTTTCTGCCGTTACAACAACAACAACAACAACAAGAACAAAACATTTATATTTAATCTCGCACCATATTTTTATACTTTTAAGTTTGCTACATAGTTTGTAACATCCAGAAAAAAATGTCGGAGACCCTATAAAATGTATACAAATGATCAGCATTACGAGCTGAGTCGATTTAGCCTTGTCCATCTGTCTATATATACGCAAATTAGTCCCTCAGTTTTTGTGATCTTAAATTTTGCACACTCCCTTTTCTCTTTAAGAAGCTGCTCATTTGTCGAAACCGTTGATATAGAACCACAATAACATATATCTTCCATACAAACTAGACGAGCAAAAGCATGTCCTTGCATGGAATCTTTTGTATTTGTGAAGGGTTTTATAGCTTTGGTGCAACAAAAGTTAACGTTTTTTCTTGTTACAAATGCCAAACAAGTATAGAAAGTGAAATATAAAATTATATTCAGTTTTATTACATTTAAAATAACTTTACATATTTAAATATACATATATATATAATATTAAATAACATTTTTAGAAATATATTTAAGTCATCTCCTTGCTTATATATTTCACATTCAGCTTTAATTGATTATAGATAATTCTGTGTTTGTTTTATGCATGAACATTTCTATCATTTCTTATCGTAATCACTCTGCAAAAGGATAAGCATTTAAAAAACCATATGAACATATGCATATAAAAGTATAAAATACAACATATTTAATTTTTTTTTATAACAAATGTATATAACATATGTTTTATACATAATACGCCGACAAATACCTCTAAATATTCTACTCCAAGCGTGTTAGTTATTATCAACATGTCATTATTAATTTGGATTGATTTTTAAAAAATGCATTTAGGTATGTACTTAAATATAAAGTAAGCTTATATTAGTATTCATAATAATTATTCATGAAAAATTACAACTAAAAATGAAATTAAGATTGTTGAACCGAAGAGCGTTTAAAATGTAACATCTATGTACATGTACAGAAACACTGACACCACAACGATGAAATGTTGTACGTCATAAAATATAAGTGTAAATAATATAAACCCATCAATGCTTAGGTATGTGGTGGCCGTGGTGCGTATCACTCAATCAACGGACGTCAAACAAGCGATTTTAGCGTGAAAATAATTTGCCCTTTAATGTGTTGACAATTTTCATTTTTATAATATTTCATATAGTATTCCATAAACATGTAATGTGTATGAACGAGAATGCAATCATTTCATTAATCAAACAATTTGTGATGTGTAGTGTTTTAGTGTTTCGCAAAAGGTAAATAGATAAATAAAATCGCAATTAGTACCACAATGGAATAAATAAAGTTTGCAATAATTGCTTAATTGAGAATAATTGTAGTTACCTGTAAATAATGGGTGAAGAGTACTGTGAGGCCAATACCCAAACCGACCGCTAATAGATGTGACAGATAGAGCTTGGGGAATGGGCGGCGTTTGCGCAGCAGAATACCCAATATCGTTGATTTGCGATCTGAATAAGGTGGATAACGACCGCTGCAGTGGAAAGTGTGTTTAATTAATATTTATTGTTAAAATTAATATGACCGATTGCAAACTTACGATGCCAGCAGTTCGCCTAACGGATGCAGATCCTTGCCAAGGCACGATTTCTTATGCGTGAATGTTTCAAAACCATATTTACCATGATAGCGTCCCATGCCGCTGGAACCGACACCGCCAAATGGCAAAGTGTCAACTTTTATAGGAGAAAAGCATATTAGTTTGTTGATAAATATTGTTATTAAAAAGAGAAAAAGATTCGTTGGATTTCAAGTAATGGGCAAAACTTAAAAATAATAATTAATTACAATATTTAGTAAGAATTAAAACGAGACTAAAATAAAGTATAATTATTAATAACGCATGCAAAAAAAAAATAATAAAAAAAAACCAAAAAAAAAAAAACCAAAAAAAAAATAAAAATAAAAAATAAGGAATGCAAAATTATAATTTATTATATTTTATATATTATACTATTAAATAGTTTTGTAGTTATTTTTAGCATCTATACATTTTTGGGCATTATTGTATAATTAAAATTTTAGTAAAGCAATTATAACTGTTGAAGTTTCCATTAGCCAAGCAAAGGAAATAAAAAACAATGAAAACCAAATTCCTTTGCAAAACTTTTAAGATAAAGGTTTCTAAAGTAAATCGTGTTATAATAAAGTATGCATTAAAAGTATATATATTTACTACAATTAAATCATAAAATAATAAATATTATATTATTATTTTATTTCTATATTTATAATATTTTCTGTTTATTTACTTCTTTATTTATAATATTGTACTTTAGGTAAACAATTCCAAATTTAGATCAAGTGACTATACATATACAATTTTATTAAAATTTTTTAGTAATTTTTGAAAACTGTAAACAAATTGAAATTTTCATTTCAAAAAACCGAAACTTGTGCAATTGTTAAGCAGAGAAATTAAAAAAAGTAAAAAAGTAGTATTAACTTTTAATGTGTATTTTCATAATTTATATATTATATAGTATATCATGTGCGAAATTTTGCACGTAAATACCTCCAACGTGCAATACGGTCTCATTACTGCAAAATCCGCCGCTTGTTGTGTTTTGTCTAAATTCTTTAACTACATTTGAATTTTTGGAGAAAACGTAGATCACTAAAGGCTTCTCCCTATTTTACAAAAATTCATATTTTACCGTTAAATAAGGCATCAACATCAAAAATATACATACATAACTAATTAAGTGAGTTTACAAGGTGATTTGCACGTTTGTGTACTGATGGGTATGCTTATGACAAATTTCTATATTCTGACCGAAAATAACAATGCACATATGTATATGTGTGAAAAATGATTATAAGACGTACACATACAATATTAAGGCAAAAAAAATTAAAATAAAGTCAAAAGGAAAACAATTATATTTCTAATTCGTAAAGATCCAATATGTAAATTATTACTAAGGTTTTAGCTTCAAATACTTATTTCTTTCATAACTGGTGGAGGGATATCGTAACAATTTGCTTTATTAGCGCTCAAATAGGCTTATCAAACGAGCAGCTGTCAGCGGTCACTTAGACTAAAGTTTTCAAATTTACACAAATTTAGTAGCACCAACTCCAATTTAGTTTACATTTTTTTTTTTAATTTTAAAACAAATATGGTTCATTTCTACACACAAGCATTCACTCAATAGCAAAAGAACGAATAAATTCACCCAAGCACCGTATACATACATACATACATACATACATATAAACTTAGTTCACATTACCGCTATAATTACAGTAGGAATTGAAATATATATACAAAAAGGTTTGCATTATTTAAATGATAGCACACGTAGAAGTTTAACGCGCCAACACCACTTTGTCTTTGGAAATGCATTTAGCTGTACAAATTAATAGGAAAATAAACGGGCAACTCAACAGTTGACATTGACTGACACAATCAATGCCCGTGTGCGGGTAGACACAGTTTAAGGGAGTCGTTGTAGCATTTATTTCTTGATTTTCTGCTTCAATACAAGTCTTCGCTTACCAGCATAATGCATTATAGTGTCGTTCATACACATTCCGCCCGATTGGATGTCGCGTTTAAATAAATTTTGTACCTCAGCCTCCGCTGTGAATATATACGCACAAAGTGGTGCTTCTCTGTGTACGTTTTTATGTAAATTTGTGTGTTGCAAGGTGTGTAATTCATTATTATTATTTGTTTTTTGTTTTGTAATTTTTAAATTTTTGGACGTACACGTATGTAGGTGGAGACAGTTTTTTGACGATGCGAAAATAAATGAATATAATAAAAAATTAATAAATGAATATCAAATGAAAAATGTCACATTTAAGAAGAAATTTGGTCGTAACCAAATATAAATTGGAAATATCGCACACCCAACAGTATTATAGCCTTTTGAGATAGGTTCTTAATTGAGTCATTTAGCAATTTTGCACTCTACAAATTGGAGTAGACAATTTTGTAATTGATCTACCTAAACTCCAAGCAAACAGTTTCATTTAGATATTTCTAATTAGAAAATTAAAAATTTAAGATGAAATTAAAATTGTAAAAGATTTTGAAAATTAGACTTTACTTTAAATGATCAACATGACGAGCTTATTTTTGAGGCAGCAATCTGAAATTTTGCACACGTCTTTTTGTCCTCAGGAAGCTACTCATTTGTTGGATCATTATAGCATATAGCTGCTTTACGAACTGTCCAATCAAAATTTAGTTTTTGCTGGAAATCGTTTTTATCTTTTTATGAAATTTGGCATAGATTGATGTTCAAGACAACGCAAAAATATCCGAACGTATTGTTCAGATCGGACTTCCACATCATCACTATATGAAAATCAAGATAAAGAACCTTTTATACCCTTTTATGCTACCCAAATGCACCTGTGAAGGATATTATAACTTCGATGCAGCCGAACCGAATTAAGTTTAGTTAAACTCCTTCACATACGAAGAAATTGTTGCGCAGTATACACAATTTTTTTAATCCAACTTTAATGATCACGTCATAAACTTTTTTTCCATATTTAAGTCTATTTATCTCTCAAAAAAAGTAGATTGGGCGTGCGATAATAATGAACCAAAGTACAGTACAAATGTCGAAGTTTAAGTGTGATCATAAAGCGATACACAAATCTTTCTGCAGTAACAGCAGTACACAATATTATTTTCATTAATATATTGTACTTAATTGTATGCTTTTTTTTATATGGGAATGTGTTTGTTTACCTGGAATTGATGAATTTTATTGCGTCGTAGGCATTTTCGACTGTGAATATGGGCAAAATTGGGCCGAAAATCTCCTCTTGCATAATAGAATCATCAGCTTTCACATCAGTTAATATTGTGGGCTCAATGAAACGTTCAGAGGCATCATAATTACCACCAACCGCAACTTTGCCGCTTTTCATTAGACCGAGCAGGCGTCTAAAATGTTAATAAAAAAAAAGTTATATTAGTAATATATAAACACATACTTATGTATTTGCATTATTTACTGGAAATTATTATGATTTATAATACGACTGAGATCTGGACTGCTCTTGATATCCTCGCCATACCACTCTTTGAGCACGTCTTTTGCTTCGGCAATGAATTTGTCTTGTATTTCTTTCGAACACAGCACATAATCGGGCGCTATACATGTTTGGCCGCAATTGATCAGTTTGCCCCAAAGTATGCGTTTTACAGCTGTACGCAGCTCAACGGATTTATCAATGTAACAGGGACTAAAATAGAGAAGTGTTAGTAAAAATAAATATGTATATGTGAATTAATCAATTCGAATGGTATACCTTTTACCACCCAATTCGAGTGTTACCGGCGTCAAATACTTATTGGCGGCAGCGTGTATAATTTTGCCAACTCTGGTTGAGCCTGTGTAGAAAATGTAATCGAAGCGTTGCTTCAACAATTCAGCTGTTTCGGTTGGACCACCGCACACAACTGGGTAGCAATCCTATTTGGTTTAGAATAATGTGTAATTTAAATGTAAATATGTAGCACAATGGAACAACTATTTGTCAAGGCGAAATGATTTCAACTTGATCTGAACATACTTAGTAATGAATTATTATTTGGTTTTTTTGTATTCTCTGTTTCTATCTTTTATACAAAAATAATGCCTATAAAGACTCTCAGTGAAATTTCATATACAATATTTAAATCCTCTAAAGACTTAGTAATTGGCCAAAACGAAGTTTTAGAGAGAGTGCGAATGAGTTAAAATTTTTCCCTGTTTTTTTTTCTTTTCTACTTTCTTTTTTTCAAGATTTTCAAAAATATCGGTCGAAATTGCTGTTTTATATTTATTGTATTATTATTAAAATGTGGTACGAAACTATCCTTTGGATTCTATTATACGTACAGAAATCAAAGAAACTATTCGTTAATAATTGTATCTTAGAATAATACAAATTTGACTAGAGAAGACAAAATGTTTTTCAGATTAAAATCTTCCTGAAAATACGATTTTTTTAAGATGGTTTGTAACAGTTATTTTCGGCGCTTATTGTCCTAGTACATTTTAACCCTCTAACGACAATCCAAAGAAACTAAAATCGACCTATTTGCTACAGACGTAAATGGTTTTATAAAACTATTACCCGTAATATTTTATAATACATTTTATCCGTAGTTAACTTTTAATCCGTTATAAATTAAAAAACGTATACTACAGATTTTCAACTAATTCAACGGTATATGACCCAGTAAAAAAAAATTTTGAGCTGAGAACAGCTTTATAGGTATGAGTTTAAATCTTACATTCCCAGTTGAAATTATGCTACCTTTAGCAGATGAGACTTAAATAGTGTAATTTTATGCGATATTTCTATGTAATACACTTACATTATCCAAATATTTCGGCACCATCTCTGTAATGAATTTTGCGCAATTGGTAGAAATTTCACTTGGTTTAAGCACAACGCAGTTGCCAGCAGCTATGGCAGCTGCAACGGGCACCAGCAACAATTGTAGTGGATAATTCCAAGCACCGATCACCAGAACTACACCAAAGGGATCATTGAAAATTTGCACATCGTCCAACAGATTGACCAATGATTTTTCCGGCTATTATGAAATTGTATATTACTATAAAAGGGTAAATGGCTACTATGTAGTATATACCGTTTCGGGTTTAACCCAATCTTCCAAATTGTATAGTATGTGTTTGATGTCATTTTTAAGAAACTCCGTTTCTACCACCAAACTTTCTTGCTTTGGACGCCGCAAATCTGCATCGAGCGCGCTAATCATCTCATTTTCATGCTCTTCATACATTTTCAATAGATTCTCCAACTGTTTTCGCCTAGAATTGAAAAAATTTAGGTAATGTTACTCAAAGACTTATATAATATATTTAAGAGAAATAAACTACATATTATATTTCATAGGGTTTTCAAATTTTAAATAAAATTGAGCTCTAAAACGATATAATAGGACCAAAGAGAAAGTTGATTTTTAAGTAAGCATTTTGAGTTACATACTCGTATGCAGGTTTCAAGCTCTACGTACAAGTATTTCATTCTATTAACCTGGAAGTGATTTATAAAAAATTAAAATAATTTAAAATGGAACGACTGATTTTGTTCCAGCATTTGCTGAGATTACAGCCTTGGGCAGCTATTAATTCGAATTTGTTTGCAGTAAGATCCCTTCTGTGGTTATTGTACTGGTATAAATAGCTTTAGGGAATCTAATGTGATGGCTGTCTAGGGTTGGGCATAAATTTGAATCCGTTCCAGAATCTATGCCTTCTATTGAGTTCTCGAATACTTTCTCAAGAACCAGTGAACTGATTGACACCATAAACTGTACCAACAAGTGTAGCTGTGATGTTATAGACTTAGTAGATATCTGTGTGCTCAGATTATAGACTAGAGAACTCAGATTATACACTAGACCAAAAGTCGTAAATTTTACATTTAGGAACACAAGATTATCAAAATTTACCTAACTGCAGCTTTGTTGGTGTAAGCATTAATTTAGCTTACCTGGTTAAAATATTATATTATACTCATAGAGTTCAAGCTGGATTTTAATCAACTAAAAGTTGTTGTTTTAGCTTATTTGCGTGCGATTTGTATAATGAAGATCTTTTAAATGTAGATAAGAACAGAATCGGGATTAAGTCAATAAATTATATATAATTTATATACGAAAATAATGCTTCTGGGCAGAAAAAATAAACAAATATTGCCTTTTGTGAAAATTTATTGCGTATTACATTCCTCCCTTTCTCTTTTTTTCTTAATTCAAAACTTAACGACTTTCAAATATTACATATATATATGTAGTATAATAACCTTAATAAAATAACCAAAATTTTCCAAATTAAAATTATATTTTTACAGTCATTATAAATGACTAATTATCTACACTGCAACTTGAGAATTTGTTTTTTTTTTCTGGCTCAAACGAGTTTTTATAAATACATATGAACGAGTATGTACAATATGTATATGCATTTTTTTAGAAACACAGAGAGGAATTTGAATAATAATTTGTTGTGATCCCGAAAATGCCTTAATATGAACTTGCATGCCCTTACACAATTTTTTATAAGTAGAACCAGACATACATATGTATACATATACACATACATACTCGCATGCATATGTATGCAAATGCATACGCAAATTTGGACAATACAACTCTCAGCACGAAGATTTAAAAAAATACAAAAAAAAAACAGCAGCGGATTTAAATGACTCCACATTATATGCACAAAGTTAAAAAATATATATGTATATCCATACACATGCACACATGTATTTTATTTGAAAACGGTATCTAACAAAAGCCGAAAAACACCAGTGTTAAACGGCAAATGGCAAGGTCAATGTTATGTTAATAATCATAGATAAATAAAAAAGCTCACAATTAACATATGCAAAAGAAACCGTAGAATTTGCATAAGCACAGTTAACATCTTGCTGTATGTACATTATCCCATTTATTTATTTATAAGTAAGCCGCACCCAACCTTTGTAATTTAAGTTCTGTTGTACTTCAAATGAGACCTTACACCAGGCAGTGTTAATAAGTCTGCTAAATGTTCAACCAAAGTGCAGATAAAATGCATATTACCATATGTAGTTACAAACATACAAACTTAGTATAAAAACCCAAAAATATTGACCCAAGTCTGAAAATTTACTCATTTTGTAAAGCCGGTGGTGTGTTTAAAAAATAACGGGAATTTTCGTTTTTTGAAAAACCTATTTATTCGTTTGTCTGCACCAATGCTGTTTCATCTCCCAAACTCGATTTTTAGGATAGTCTTTAGCTCTTTCAGCGATGTGCTTTTAATGTCATCTATGGTTGTAAATGACGGCCCTTTAGGGTTCTATTTTTTTTTTTGGAAATAGGAAAAAGTCACACGGAGCTAAATCTGTTGAATATAGAGGCTGGGCATCGAAGACTAGTGCAGAAGCCTTTGAAAATGATAAAACAAAATAATAAAAATCATAGTAAGATGAAACCCATCGGAAACTAAAGATAACATTAAAGAAATAACCATTTACGGGTTATTTAAGCTCGACAAAAGGAAGGGGAAGCGCGTGTTTGAATTTTTATGGGTTAAGAATGGTTTATCTTGATTTTCTGCACAACTACGTGTTATATAGAAAAAAGTTATATGCCAATGTTGTAGTTAATGAAAAGAGCTATAACTTGTGTATACAAACTTTTTCACATAACCTCAAAATTTATGAGAAAAAATTAAATAAAAAATTGTTGGGTTTTTTATTTTTATCTTGTACAAATTTGTTTTCTTTCACGAAATTTGGTGTAAAATTACCTTTTTATGCCCAAATATACTGCATTTTTTAAATTAAAAATGTTTTCTCCTTTTAAATTTTTTCTGCTTATACTGACCTAATATCGAAAAACTTAGTTTTCAATCAAAAGTTTTTAAAAATCTTCATGAAATTTGTAAGAATTAATTAGCAAAAAACTTTTTAATTGACAATATATATATATGTTCAAAAAGTATCGCGAATTTTGTATTTCTTAAGAAAATTTATTTATTAATGAATATCTAGTTTGTCCCCTTCAAAGTAATCACGCCTAGGCTTCGGTACAGCTGAAGTTAACCGTTTTCTATTTTATTTTCTTTTTGTTTAGATTTTCCAACTTTTTTTTTTGAAAAGTAAATAAAACTTTCATTTTCTTATTAAAATACAATTACTAATTAAAGTCAGTTTTTCTTAGGCTATGCTTACGAATCTTTGAACCTAATAACGTTTTTACGTCGTTCTGTATAATATCACATCATTACACCTTGGATTAATATATGTTTACATATACATATATATTTATATTAAAATATTAAACAAAACAAATATTAAAGGATCAATAATATATTCCTATTTATTTCACTCGGAACTTAGTTTCATTGTATAACAAACACTGTACAAGTTATATACAGCTATACAGAAGTACGTACATAGAGAGACAGACCAAAAAAAAAATGTTGTCGATAAACGATATGTACAACAATTATTATTTCATATTGCTCATTGGAATAAAGTTGCATTGATCCATATATAATATACGTAATACATTTGTATTATGTACTAGAGATCGGGAGTGAGCTAAATATTCAGTGCATATCACAATTAAGTACATATGTATGTATGTACATAAATCCATTGTTATCTGTCGGGTAAAGCATTTGTAATTCATTTACAGATAGGAGCACATATGTACATATGTATGTATGTTCACATGTAAATGCAAATATAAATAAAATATTTATAATGGAGTAGTAGTGCTCATTCAATCCAGCAAAATAACTAAAATTAATGATGATCTAGCATTATTAGCATGATAATTACCATAATCATATGACTATGTTTTTATCAATAGCCTTTAAAAAAAATCTATGCGAACGCTTACATACACACATATTATTATTAGTATATATGTATGTTCATATGCATGTATATAGATAAATGGCATATGATGGGTTATTTTGCAAAAATTTAAAAAGTATATAAATACATAGTATATGTACACACATATGTATGTATGTATGTAAATATATACAAATATAGGTATGGACGCGCTTCTTCTTCTATAATTTTTTTTTTCAAACATTTCTGAAAATCTTGAAAACATTAATTGCAAACCTTGAGCAAAAGAAGCGGCAGTAGAGAATAGATAACAACAAAAATATGAACAAAAAGCAACAAACCGTATTTTATAATACTTCCGTTAGTTAGATTTTTAAATGTCATGCGAATTCTTTGACGTCTAGCTTGGCTGACTGTTTTAATTATGGAAACTCTTGAAACTAAAGATTTGGTCAAAATGTGATGAATGCTATACTAAAGCACAAGTCACAATAACTAGAACTGCTATATATGTATCCTTATATATATGGTATGCACTGATGACAGAAATAATAGGAACGAGCCCATTGGCTTTTTTCAAAGACCAAAGGATCTTATGATCAACATATATATATACACAGATTTGAACGACTTGTCATTATGCAACGATGCATGATAACCGTACTTTCTGTTTGACTCTCAATATCTTATCTTGCATCATTAAATTCCATTTGAAGTCATTAACTGTTTTAAATGGATTTTCGCTGCGGAACGTACCAATATTTAGTTGAAATGGGATAAGGTTTTGCCTTTTGTTAATCTAGTTGAAGGGTTTTTCTGTTATCAAGCATTGTTGCATAGTGACAAGTCATCCATACCTATGTTGGTAAAAAGTTTTTATGGACTTTGAAATATGCCAATGGACCTGTTTCTATTATTTCTGCCACCAGTATAGGTATATATATATATAAACATATGTATGTATATATACCCAATAGTCATAATATACTTATGAGCAGGAATTCGTAAATATGTAAGTAAATAAAGGTAAATACCTACGATTAAAGGCTGAAAGCTTATCTGCCTGAATGCACACGCTTTTAATTTCATGTATTATAAGAGTATTATATTACAAGTCTATGGAAAAGTTTGAGATTAGCCGTATAAAAGTGCATACTGTGTACTCACTGTAATGTATATACATATATATATATATAAATTCAGCAAAACAATTACAATAACTATTCTTAATTTTTTTTAATATATTTGATTACTGGACTTGGTGTCAATTAAACGAGCTTATTAAATTTTATAAAAACCTGTTTTCTTCCTATATATGTACATATAGCAAAACTAATTGCAAAAGGTATTCAAATTCAAGCAATATGTAATTACCGATTATAATAATAACATTTACTTTAATGACGTAAATTAAACATTGTATGTATGTGTAATTAAATTTAACAGCTGTTATGCTGATTATTATTTACAGTTATTATTCGAAATATCAAACTATTGACTTGATTATTTGTTGTTGTAACATTATAAAACTTTTTCCAAACAGTTTTGTGCTAATACTGCTGATGTGACAGTTCTTGATGTAATATAACGCCGGTTCCACTCTGATTATACTTATACATAGAACCCATATTCTCAAAATATATAAATCAATCAGCTGTTCGTAAACGGCTTAAAAACATGTTAATCTTCAATTTATAGATTGAAGGATAAACTCGGCCAAGGATAATCTCTGCCATTTTGTTAAAAGTTGTCAACGACTCATTGCTGTCATTGATAAAAATTTCACATGCTACAAATATTAATACATCGTATATACATAACATACTATGTACATATTAGTCTGCAAAGTTGATTAAGTTACTTTTGTAAGTGAGTTTTTGCAGAAAGCGACTTAATGTTCAAATATTTACGTAAATGCATATATATTTAATGGACATTCATATAAACTAGTACTACCATACATAAAACACGTTGTAACAATTAAAAATATTGAAATACTAGTTTTGTAACTACTTTAAGGCAATTAATATGCTTACAAACACCCTTACAACTTATTCTGCAACCGACACTTATGAAAATAGACTTTGTACACTTTTAGTGGATAATTGTAGGTAGTTTATTTTGATTGTGATCATACTTATTTAATATATAAGAGTAGCTACTTGATGTATTCCATACATATGTACATACATATATTCGCCAATTAAAAAATACACTGGCATGTACAAACATATGTATGTGTGTAGACGTGTCGAATTAGACTTTGATATACAGTTAAATATGCCAGTGAATAACTATGTGATTGATATCGTATAAGAAATATAAAAAAAGGACTGGTTAGTGTGAATAACGTCAGTTGCAAAAATATAAACGTTAACCTTGATTTGTAGTAAGAAAGCAACTTTATTAATACAAAACAAAAAAAAACCTTAACTTCGGTTGCACCGATGTATTCCAATGTACGTGGCAAACCTTATATAATCCGTTTAGGATATAATAAATACAGCAGTTCTTACCGTCTCTAATGCATATTAATATTTGTGAATTTTTTACTAAATTTATGTATTTATTTAAGGGCTCTACTTGTATATAGATTTACAAACTGTCTGCACGAAAATCTTTTAGATGAAATTAAAGAACAGTTCATAGTTCATAACTAAATTCCCTCACAATTACCATAAATAAAGAAAAAACTTGGCTATTTTAGTATTAATAAAATTGCATAGCTACATTTTAATCTCAAAATATTTATGTATTGCAAAAGTCAAAAGTTGATCGAACCCGTTAGAACACAAATGGCAAGTTTTAAAAACCTTTGTACAAACTTTAACTAGTTTATTATAACGATTTACACACGCAGCAGTATGTGGAGCAAGAACTGATACAAAACAATATTGTTATCATAACATTATACTCTCAGCAAACTTTCGACTGAACTGAAAAAAATGGGGTATATTTTGATCTCTGCGTTTTGTTCTTACTGAATTTGGGCGTGACACAGCTGTAATACTGCTTACTTTTTACAGCTTATAGTTTAACAGTCAAGCAATTATGGTACGAAATCCATTTTTTATCTTTTCACTTCAAGTAATAGCAATTCGTAACAAGTAAATATCTCATACGGCTCACCTGAAGTTAACATCTTTTGTTTTTCCACTGGCGAATGCAGTACGGCATCTTTGTACGATCTGTGTTTAATTTGTGATTCGAGTTTTTTTATGTTAATATATTTATGTAGATCCATTGTTTAGATTTAGCCATTTTCACAGAGGTATGAAAATAAAATACAAATCATGAATAAAACATAACGTGTGTATGTACGTAGGTATATGTATACTCTAAAGCACAATTGAATATATTGAATATTAACCAAAAACATATAAGAAAAGCACTCACATCTTCAAAATTTGCCATTTTGTTGAACTGTTCGTTATCGGCACCGATTGCGTTATCTGCAAATAAAAGCAATATAGCAGTATTTTTTTTATTATATCTCTGCAGCAACAGAAAAACTTTCTTTGTCGTTTGACCACAATGTAGTTATTAACACAACAAAAAAACAAATAAATTATTGTGTATACATGCAAATGTTTAAGTTTCACACCTTGAGGTTTTCTATACAATAGTTCAATATTCTTTACACAATGTAAGCACCTTTGTTTAGTTGTAAGTACACTAGTTACTTTCAATTAGATAATACTAATATTCAAAGTATGAAATTGAAAGGAATCGGCAGACCGCAAATGTGTAATGTATGTTAACATAAAAAAACAACGCACGGTGATGAAATGTTAAAAAAAATATCGAATGACCGTTCGAACGATTTCTACTACCGCACACGAGTGGATTAAAAAAACAAATGCTAACTAGTCCATTTGGAAAAGCAGCTCCACTACGGCAACTCGTTGAACGAATAAACAGCTGAGCTCGAACAGTGTTGCCATGTGTTAATTGAAAAGCTCTACTTGAAATTCCTCAAGCTCTCTTAAACGAGTAGTGGATTTTTTAGCGCCCCATTTATGTGTTTTTATTTATATATATGTGTGTGTATTTTATTTACAATTGAGTGAAATTATTGTAGCTATTAGATGTTTAGTTTAAATTATTCCACACATTAACATATAACATTTGATGGAGTATTAGCGTACTATTGACTTGAGATATTTCATGCTTCTGTTATAAGAAAATATTTACTGTTATTAGTCACGGATATCCGAAAGTAAAAGAAGACGAACGGTTTTAAGCATAAGTCATGATATTCAGTTCGGTAGCCATTTTATAAAATGGTGGAAAAGTGGATTGGCTTCTGATCCGTGTGATCCGTGAGTTTTAATAGTTTCAACTGGATATAATTAATAAGCAGTAAATATTTGAAGGTCCTATAAGTTTTCAGGTGTATTCGAACGATTTGTAGGCTTACATAGATGCATGTATATATAGATAGCTGGGCATGTACGTATATGAGAGTATTCAAAACGCGAGGCCATCGAGTGACTGATATATTATAGCAACAACAAAAATTCTGAATGAATGCAATAACATCACCATCATTAAATGATTATACTATAATGATTATACTAATATAATATATATAATACTATAATATATAATTGTAGTTATAATTGGGTCCGATTAAAGATTTAGTGTACGAAGGTATGGATATAATATAAGCTCTTTAGAGAGTAATTAAATTATATAGAGTAATAATTATTGGTATCTCTCTACTATGAACACAGCATGATTTTAGATAAGTTGTTGAACTAATTATATATTAAATATTAGTACGTGATACATTTATACACATTAATGTAAGTCTTTATGTATATTTAATATTTAAAACAAGAAAAAACATTCGCTTCGTTAACACCGAAGCTATAATACCCTGCAAATAAAAAATTGTTCCATACAAGTAGTTTATTGCGATCGTTCAGCAGCTATATGCTTTAGTGGTCTGATATCGGCGATTCAGACAAATGAGCAGCTTTTTGGAGAAAGACGGTCATGTGTAAAATTTCATATCGAAATCTCAAAAACTGAGCGACTAGTTCGGGTATATACAGACAGACAGACATACGAACATGGCTAAATCGACTCAGCTCGTCACGCTGATCATTTATATATATACTTTATATACTTGTAGTCTCTGGACTGGGTTAACTCGTGCATTATAATTTACCAGAGTATTTATTAGACCAATCAAAGTACAAGTTCATAAATAATGCCATGTAAATATAATTTTCTATTTATAGTACTTCAGTCGATAAGTTATTTGAGTAATAATATGCTGCAAGATAACATTTTTTGAAACTAGTTTTTTATAATACTAAGCGCCACTAAGACCCTCAATTAGCAGAATAATAATAATAAATATGAATATTAACATAAACTCTCTCGAGCTTAATGAAAATAATAGTTTTATACATTTAAAACAACTACGCGGAGAAATTCCAATGACCTTGGACATATTCGGAAATTTCTACAAATATCTATTTTATATTATATATAATATTTTGAGGCAAGCAGTAGTTATGAAACGATTTCATCTCATTATGCCTAAAAAAACAGTATTATCTAATTATATTTAAATATCTCGTATACCGACCAATAATATTATATAAGGTATCTAGTCTGATGGAAGGCCTGAGTTAAACGTATTCGGTATAAGGAAAAACGGGGCAGATATAGCCCGATTCAGTAAATGTTTGAAAGAAAGTTGATACATGTCAAGCTCACTAAGATTGTAGCAACAGAAACCATTATCCAAATAACTTTATTAAAATTGCATGTATTCGGATCAATAATATATATATATAATATATAAAGTCTAATGGACGACCTGAGTTAATTGCATTTGGTATAAGGAAGATTGGGGTAGATATAGACCGATTCTGTGAACTTTTGGAAAAAAAGCTGCTACATTTCAAGGTCACTAAGTCAACAAATAAATTTTACCGAATGTTGAACAGCAACTGAGTAGTGACAGAAAACATTTACCAAACCAAGCTGCCGAGTAGATACTTCTTGTTGAAACGTTTTACTTTGGAATCTATCTTATTGTTTCAGTAATTTATTTTAAGCTAATTAGAGCTTTTTTAATTAGTTAGTTAGTTTATTGCTATTTTGTATTACTCAATAAATATTATGTTTTAACGTGCTTGTTCGTAAACATTTGTGCAATACTCACCAATTTCAATAATTGCGGCACCATCATTTTTTATGTTAATATGACTATTCGTATTTCCAGATTCTGTAAAATAAAGTTTGTTATACTTTATTGATTGAAAGTATAAAATAACGATCATATTTTACCATTATTATTATTTGGTATTAGTATTGTTGTAGACGGCACAAACAGTTTCTCAGAGTTACCAACATCTACGGTTGCACTCATTTTCGATTCAATGCAATTTATATATTTCCTGTTGATTGGATCTGAAAAATCGAAAATGCACTTTGTATTATTGATTTTATACTTATATATTTAATATTTAAGGAATTCTAAAAAAATAAAAGAAGACGAAACAAAAAAAATAAAAAATTAAAATAATAAAATAAAATAAGACAAAAATAAATAAAATAAATTATTGTGCATAAAAGTAAATACAACAAATCAAATATTATTGTACATTACTAGGTCCAGCCATAAGTTCTGTTACAAGGCCGTTATAAAAATGAGATTATAATACATTTTTATACTCTCCCAATCTCTTGGTACAGAGTATAATAGTTTTGTTCACCTAACGGTTGTTTGTAGCACCTAAAAATAATCGAGTTAGATATAGGATTATATATATATACATATATATATAAATGATAACGATGACGAGACGAGTTGAATTCCGGTTGTCTGTCTATTCGTCTGTCCGTCCGACCGTCTGTCTGCCCGTACAAGTGATAACTTGAGTAAAAATTAAAATATCTTGATGACTTGGTACCCAAAATTTTATTCGAAATGGTCACCATTTGCTTTCACACAAGCCCTCAAACTATTCGAACAATAATCAATAGTAACACGCACAATTTCTGAACTTATTTTAACCGTGTAAACCAAAATATCTGAAGTAGCATAATTTTGAGAGACGGAACAGATGAAATGTCATGAAGCTTTGATAGTACAGCTTAGATTAGTATTCTAGAACGAGGATAGGATAAAGACATGTATTATTTACAATATTTTGTTGCTAAACCTTCAGTTAAAAAATTAACAAACTGCACAAAATTGCCGCCGTATTATTTTTAATTTTATGTGCGCCTGGTATTTGAGCTTAGCTGATACACAATATACATATGTACATGTACATTCATGTACAACAAACAATAATTTTATATTAGAAAAGGCTCTAGCACACCATAATTCAAATACTTACTAGAAAAATGGTGTACGCAACGGTTCTTGCACAAATAGAATATTTAAACTGTATTAAAAATGCATAAATATTAAACTGCATACATGCATGAGCGTTTATAAATTGTTTTTTTTGTTCCTATTGTTTCGTTTAAATTATTTAATGACATATTACAGCCCCTCGAACAAAGGGTGCATGAGAACTCGTTTATGAGAAAAATAATATGTGTATGGCATTAATAGCACTAAATAAATATTTAATTTATTTAATTTAATATTTACCTCTAACAGGCATCAGTTGCAAGCATCAATTTAAAATTTTAACACATATAGTATTGACATATGAATTTACACGTGTAATTACGTATTCAAATTGTTGGTTTTAGAGGTGTTAAACTATTATTGCAACTATTTACAAATGGAATTAAAAAAATTAAAAGAAGAGTTAATATTATATTCTCGATTCTCATAAAATATTTAAAGCCAGTTGAAAAGTCGGAAGTCCCTATATAAACTTGGGGGCTAGGTGAAGGTCTGTTTGAATTGCATTAACTTTTAACATTATTTATGGGATTTGGGTTAATTCGTGACCGATTTCCTACAAATTTCAACATAAAAATATATTATATCCTAAATTATACGTTTACTTAATTTCAATAAGGTAACCGGAAGTTTGAAAATCTGTATGTTAGGCGGCTTGCAAATAATGCATTAAAAAATAATTTAATAAACTTGTTTTTTATTTCCTAATCACAAAAATCTCAATTAAAAATAATTTTAAAATTCCTAATCCCAAAACCTAATTGAAAAATAAATTCATACCAAATACCGGATTGAAAAACAAAAAATAGTTGATTCGCAAATTCTGGATGGAAAAGAAATTAACTTCCAAATTCGGGATTGAAAAAATTAATCCCTTATTCCGGATTAAAACACCAAGAAACTTTAATCCTAAAAACCTGATTGAAAAAAAAATTGTCATAAAATTTATATTTTTTCGCATTTGCGTACTTGGTATTCTACCATTTTGGTTTGAAGAGGAAAGCTAATAATATAAGTAATAAAAGATCAATAGAATATTATACATATGTACGTCTTTTATTTTTACCCCAATTTCCGATTTTCAGTTTATAATCCCTATTTCTAATTATTATTTTATTTTTGGGATTCAAAATTTAAAACTTAATTTTTTTAAAAAGTTGTAAACCACAGATACTTTTCCCAAACTTCGATGTACTGTACAGTTTTGTAACTTAATTTGTGGCTAAGTTATAGCCCATTTTAACATTTCACTTCCCGGAATTTTATGAGAGTGGCAAGGGTTCAAATCGACCATCTACTATTCCATCCTCCTCAGACTGTCAAAATACAAAAGTAACAAGTTTCATAAAGCTATCTGAATTTTTATTCAAGTTATCGCTTGCAGGTACGGACAGACAGGCGGACAGAAAGTCACTCGGAATTCAATTCAACTTGTCATCCTTATCTACATAGCTCTATATCTATCTCGATTAGTTTTAGTGAACAAAACTAGTACCGCTGTAACAAAATATTGCGAGGGTATAAAAAAGGTATGTGACTGCTTGTCTAAATTATTTTCTTAGTGATAGATTGTATTTATAATTAACGCCTACAAATATGCAACACTTTGGCAAAGGCTTATAAACCGTTTAGAAATATTTGGAGAAGTGTGTGTGCGTTTTAAACTTTCATTAAACAATTTTCGGTGTGTGTGCTCTTATAATACTATATACTTTTGTATTTATATTAATTAGTATTCGAATGATCGAGTCACAATAGCATAAGGCTGCCATACAAACTGACCGTTCAAAGTTCTTGTATCTGTTGTATTTGTGAAGAGAATTATAGCGTTGGTGCAGCAAAAGTTAACGTTTTTTCATGTTTTAAAGCCATTTAGTCTGAGGAAAAATGGATATAATTTCTTCCTTTAAAATTTTATTAAATATTCTTGTAAACCTGCAGAAAACAAACACAAACCCTTTTTTTATTGTTGAGAAGGCGAAGCCTTTTACTTGCCCTAGAGCTACAAGCTATGTTGCACTAAGCAAAGGTACTGTCCCTTGGATGATAAAAGTAAAACATCTCGGCGTTATTCTTGATACAAAATAAACAACACGTTTCGTATATTATTAACAAAATAAATATTCTAATTCAGACCTTGTAGCCTCTCATTATTCTTAAATTACAAAAAACTGCTCATTTTTAAATCAATTTTTGAACCCATAATTTTTTATGGAGAGCGAGTCTGGGCCAATTGCTAATTGCCACTTAAGAAAATTGCAAGTAAAATAAAACTTAAAAAAATGACACTGTGAATCTGTACTTGGTTTTAGAGGTTCTTAAGTTATTAAACTTGTCTCATAACCATATTTTTTTCAATTTTTTTTCTTTGTTTTTCAAATGAGTTTTATTCCTTAATTTTCACCTCTAATTATATATTGTCATAATTAAGCTTATGTCATAATAATTATCGCTATAATTAAGTAGGTCAGACAATTATGTCTTATTTTAATTATTAGTCGACAACACTTTTGTGTACTTAAATTTGTCAATAAATAAATAATAAATGATATTTTGAGTGTAGCATATATCTACAGAATGACGGTCACTAGGTCAATCTTTAAAATATCAATTTTTCAATAGGGCCTATATGAACGAAGATTTTTCTAAGAATTTGTGCTGTGTGAAACAAACTAAAAACGGGTACTTAATATATACATATAAGACTTGTTTGGTTTATTAACCCCTAATAAAATATCACATAAATGTCAGTTTCCTGACTGGTTCTATTTAATTCGATTTTTCTTAATTCCTGACCAGTGTTATGTTTCACTGAATATATATTTCGCATAAAAAACATTTTAAATAGTCCTTTAAAATAACTTACTCTGGATAAATATACAATGTTGTTATGCTCGTTTTGCTTGAAACCATTTAAAATTGAGATGTTCGACTCAAAAATTATATATTAGAGGTTATAAATGCTGCATGCGTCACTATTTCTATAAAATTAAACATAAAATTTGAAATTAAGAAAAAAAAGTTAAATTTGGAGGCACCAAAGCTACCAAGCTTCATCAGCAAGCATTTTTTATAGCATAAAGGGGTATAAGAAGATCTTTATCTAGATTTTGACCGTACAGTTTATATGTCAGCTATATGCTGTAGTAAATTAGCAACATCTTGGTGAGGAAAGTGCGTGTGTAAAATTTCAGGTCGATATCTAAAAAAAAATCTGGGAACCTAGTTCGCATAAATACAGACGGCCAGACGGACATGTCTAAATCGACTCAGCTCGTCACGCTGATCAATTATATATTATACTATGTATATACTTTGGAGGGTCTCCGACGTTTCCTTTAGGCAACAAGCCTCTAGGCAACAAGCTCGCTTGATGATTCATAATTTTGTTTTTTTTTGTTTTGCTCACATTCTCACCTTCATTCCTGCGCATATACTATACAAACTATTGTTCATAAAACAAATATTGTTGTAAAGATTTTAAAACGATGAAACAACACAGACACAAATATACACGAAGCAAACACTATAAGATCTTAAAGTTAGCAAAACACTTACAATTTGATGCGCTCTCATACAACACCGGGGTCAAGTACAAATATTTGTTTACACTCAAAGTAAATACTTAAATACGCTTTGCAAAACCAGCTTGTGTGAAGTCGAAATGCCAACTAAATTGAAATGAAAGCTTTTCTATTTTCTTAATAACACAATCACTATTAAAAAGGCTGAACACCTCGATTTATAAGCGCTGCAAATAACACAAGAGGCTCCCACAATTAACAAAACGCTAATGGTTCCAACTTCCTTGCAAAAATCGCAGCTTGCATTAAGGGCTCATTATATGTGTGTATGTATGTATGTCCGTACACTTATTTAGAATTCAATGTTTATAAATATTTTACCGAGCAGCACCATCGGCAGGTGCACAGAGGTCGGCGCAATTTCATATTTGTTTTCATACTAGCAGTTTTACGAGTAAGCGCAGTATAGACGTAAAACAGCAAATTTTTAAAATACGCACTTGCAGTTAATATATGCTAATTTAAAACATAATACCTACATATAGAACATACTTATATGATGAACAGTGCTTAGGAGTATCTAAGGCTTCCCTCTTACTTTTTACATATGCATTTTTTGTTTACATAAAACTTCTAATATGTCTGCTGATATTAGAAATGTATAACTAAGTTTATTTTCTTGACTTTTGAGTGACGTAGATTGAAGCGAATGATAGATATCACACTTTATATAAATATTAGACACTAAATTCGTCCAAAACATTCATGTTTTTCTGACGACTCAGTTAAAATCTCTTCATTAAAATCAATAGTTTATTAAAGTATGATATTCGAAGATTTGTATAAAATTTCCACGAAGAAATATTAAGAAATACCACAATAGCAGCAATTATTTGAAGCTCTTATATATCATTTGAAAATCTTATATTTATATTATATATGAGAGATAGTGATAGTACTGAACTGCTTTTAAGGTACCTCACATACCATCCCCAATATAGGCGGGATGAAGTCAAACGGATGTTTTAAAATCCTGATATTAGTTATATGGCGGCTAGGGCAAGTTTTCACTCGATTTTATCCATTTTATGCACAAAGATATATTGTTATAAGAAAACACGCTCTTTTAAGTTCATTAAGATAACTCACATATTGACCGATATTTGCGGTGTAAAGTCAGTCAGAAAAATTCTCTCTGAGTTTCTATAATATATCTCACAGATTGACCGATCTAAAGTCAGTATTCGTGCACAGTTTAACCCCGATACAATCATTGTTGCTTAATTTGGATACTGGAAAGTGAAAGAAGATATCAGATAGATTTCAAAATTGTTTTATATGAGAAGTAGGCGTGTTTGCAGTCCGATATAGTCCATTTTCAAACTGCGGCATGAGAATATCAGAATAACGCTACATACCCAATTTGATTAAGCAGTTCCCGAGATAAGGATTTTCACTTAAATGTAGGCGGTTCCACGCCCGTCGTTTAATTTTAACCCCTCATCTATCATCCTGGATGTAAAATTTTATGTCTCTGGTGTATTTATTTATTGATTTATCGCGCTTTTAGTAGTTTTTAACAGTACCGTTAGTGGAGAGTGGAGTGGAAGTGGAGTGGAACCGGATGATAGTTTCATTAATTTTTACAGTGTCAGTAGTGGTATTTAAGCGATTTATTTTGAGGCAATTTGGTTATTATAGTTTTAGTGGCTTAGGAGATATGTACATTAAACATATTAGAGGGCGAGGCCACGTCCATTGTTAAAATGTTTAACCCACAGGTGCCCCTTGCTACTACAACCCTCTGTGACAAATTACGGTTCTATATCTTAATGCTTAGTTATGTCACTTTATAGGTTTTCGTTAAATTGCTGTTTGTAGGCGTGGCAGCGGTCCGATTACTCCCATTTATGAACTCGTTCTTACTTTTTACCAAAGAACACGTGTACAATGTTTCACTACGATATCTCAATTTTTACTCAAGTTACAGCTTGCACGGACAGACCGACAGACATCTACATTTCAACTCGCCCCATCGATCCCCCATATATCGATTAATTTTAAATGATACAAACAACAGTTAGGTGAACAAAACTTTACCATGTAGCAACTTGTTACAAGAGTACAAAAAATACACGTGTGCAGTCGCATACCCCAGCTCGTTAGTACCGCCACACTTTGGTAATAATAATATAACCACACACACACAGAAATATCAATAATATATAATAACAAGGTTTACTTAAATTGTTGCTTATATTATATGCGTTAGATTAAGCATTTCTATATTAAACCAAAAAATTTTTTAAAAAGTAACGTTTACATTTTTACATAATCGATTAATTTTTTAATAACTTCTGTGTTGTGGCGAAATATTGTCTAGCATTTTCTAAATTTGAGGTCAAATTTTTCAGAATCGAAATTAATCGATTTTAATATTATACTATATTTACACTTTTAAATTGTAAAAATAAAAAGTTTGTGTAATAAATAACCTGTTCACAAATTAGCCGATCAAGGTTTAACCATTTAGTGGTGCTATTCTTATAAGAGTATAGTTTTTAAACGCCCTTTGACTCTTGAAACATGCTTTTGAACAAGTTTTTTACTTTCTAAAATGCATGCGCATATGTATGTATGTATGTATGTAATTTATATTGCTACTACTAATTAAAATAGTAATCAATCACTTGTTTAACTTCACAATGTTGTATAATGATTTTTTTTGCATTTTAATATTGTTAAATTGAGATTAAACTTCCAATAAGCGACAAAATTCAAAGTTTTTAATATGCACGTACTTTAATTAACTTCACACACACACATACTCCGAAATATTATAGATTTATCTAACTAATCGTTTATTTTATATAACTTAATTTAATTTTATTAAATTTTACTTCATATTATTTTATTTCATTTTACTTAATTTTATATTACTTTGCTTTGCTTTATTTAATTTAATTTTTTTATACTTTATTTTATTCTATCTTATGTTGGTGTATTTTGCTTTATTTTATCTTATCTAATTTCATTTTATTTTACTTTACCATATATTATTTTTAACATACATTGTTCTACATTTCTACAGTTAAAAGACAGTACATATAAGAATAACATATGCCACTACTTTAATTAGTTTGAACGCATATCAAATTTTACTACATAAAGTATAAAAAAACACACATTTGTTTTTAACGTTTTACGCGTTCCTCCGCACTTCCGCCGTTTTTATGTAATAATCCTTTTCTGCTTTCAATTATGTTACACTTTGTATTTTGACACACGTCTCTGTCGTTGTAGCGCTGGTCTAGTTTGTTTATTTACATACGCCCAAATCAATTCGATAGTATTTGTGGCGAGTATGTTTTTTCTTCAGTTACGCACTCGCGAATACAACAAACAAAAAAGTCTAAGCGAACGTTAGATAAATTGCCAAATATTGAAGCAGATGAGCTCCACTTTGTAGCGGCGCTAAAATGAGCAGCTCGTGTGCACCGATAATTGAAATCAAAACCTCACTGACAGCTTATTGTTTCATGAACAGGTGATAGAGTACGAGTGAGCCGCGTTTATGTTACTGCAAATATTGAATGTAAAGGCGAGCAGCGAGTATTAAAACAGCGAGCAGCGGCAGCAGGCTACTACGTAAAAGCAACTACTTTAGATGATATCAAAACAAAGCTCAAAACGCCGGCATGCGCGTCGACGACAACGCTACAAATATCCACATAGGAGCACATACACACATATATTTTACTTAGTTATAGCAATAAATATAAACAAACAAACATATGCTTGAACGCGGAGAGCGTGTGCTTGTGTGCTGCTATAGGTTTTACTAAAGCGGCCATAATCGTTTGCTGATTGCCCATATGAGCATTAGTAAAATGCTAATACTAGATGCAGAATGCGTACAGCATTGGTCGCGCCCCACCAGCGCCCGCTTAGCTAACGCTTTGCTTCTGATTTATAAGCAAGTCTGCGTTGTCGATGGGCCTGTGTACACGTCGGTTGAAGTGCTGGACACTTCAACACGTTGGTGCCCTCGCGATAGGGACCTTTCGGCGCACTTCTTGAAAACTTACTTAAACTGCAGCAACACGTTCGTCGCGCCGGTTAGTGCGTCCATACACAAGCAATTGGATTTACTACAATAAACTGTCACTCAACATATTAATCCATCAATATATTCTGCAATTGAAATGAGTTTCTTAATATGCGCATGCGTACATACATACACCCCCATGTAAAGTGGTGTGTATGTGTGCGCGTGTATGTAAATCACTTTAAACAGCTGTCACTGTGGTTGACCTCCAGTTCAATACTGTGTTTTATTATTATTACTTTTTTTGTTTTTGCTATGGTTATAATTCCATTGCGTTTCTTCTATAACATACTTGTACTTATGTATGTATATATGTACATACTCATGATATATTATTGATTTCTTGCCAGTTGATTTGTTTACTTATTGTATTTAGGTATGTATGTGCAAGTCCAATTTGAGCTCAAAACGTATTTACCAACTTCAACTAAACTGAAGTCCTTATTGCACACCTTCTCTGCTGAATTTATATTTGTACATACCTACATATGTATATGAATACATATATACATATGTATGTACGAACATACATTTGATGCCGGCAATATTCGTTTCCACACCTTTGGTGCTTGAGCGCACACACTGAAGATTAATTACAATTCTGTTTATAAAAGGTGTTCTGTACAGGGTAGCCATTAGCCATTTCCGTCTGTCCGTCTGTCCGTCTGGAACTAGTACGAACTAGTCCCTTGACGAGATACATATCTTCACCAAAGTTGGTATAGGCTATTGTCCAAGGCAACGGTGCTATCTCCGAAGAAATTGATCGAGTGACTATAGCATATAGCTACCATACAAACTGACCGATCAAAGTTCTTGTAAGGAATCTCTGATATCTTAAAATTTTTTGAAGAATATCTTTGCCGATAAATACATAATGATTATACTTACAGCGACATTTGTTTTAAAAAATCTCATGAAACTCGAAGAGAATGAAAAATAATTTACAACTTTATTTACAATTATTACACCCTGTAAAAAAGCAAGTACAGTACAATCTCTTATCATATCACAAATATACGTGCGTAGCTTAGGTAAATAATAATATATAAACAATGAGTGGTCTTAACCGTTAGGGATACTCGGGTGTTTTATAAAGTTTGGTGGGTTAATGTGATCCAAACCAGATTAATAGCCATCAAACAACTTCTCATTATAAATCTCTAAAGCAATTACAAGAACAACAACATTCGTATAGTCTAAGGTTTCGACTTGCTCGGTTTAAAACGCAGTCGTCAGGAGCTCATATGTTTGTACTCTTGCAACATGTTGCTACAGAGTATAATAGTTTTGTTCACTTAACGGTTGTTTGTATCATTAAAAATAAGCGATTCGATATAGGGTTATGTATTTATAAACGATCAGGATGACGAGACGTCTGAGTGCCTGTCTGTCTCTCCGTCCGTCTGTCCGTGCAAGCTGGAATTAAACTTGTCACACGTGTTCCTGGGCAAAAAAGTAAGGACGAGTTCGTAGATGGGCGTAATCGGACCACTGTCACGCCCACTATTAATCGAAAATATATAAAATGCCATAACTAAGCACTAAATGAAGATAAAGAACTGTAATTTGGTATAGGCGATTGCAGTAGGAAGGAAGTAGTGGGCTAAAAAATTTTTTTAAGTGGGCCTGATCACGCCCTCGAATTAGTTTAATGTACATATCTCAGAAATTTCGAAATTCGTTTAGGTTTAGGTTGTTTTTAAATTACAGAGACATAAAATTTTACACCTGAGATGATAGAAGAGGGCTTTTTAAGAGCCGGTGTCAAATTTGGACCATGGCCGTAATACCATCCAAGTTTAGGTGGAAATCCATATTTCGGGACCTTCTCGACCGATTTCAAGCAAAACTATTTTATTTGGAGCTATTTTAATGAAATATAGAGAGCGTGTATTTATGACAACAGGGTGTCTTTGTGCTTAAAATGGATAAAATTGGGCGGAAATTTGTCTCAGCCCATATATATGTTTATATTATATTTATAAAATTGGTTGAAAATAAGTTCTCAAGTATATCTGAGCAATGTCAAAAATTAATGCCATCAGCCCTTCCATTTCTCTGCCCCCAATGATTTCAGTTTAATTTTCGCTGACGAGAAGTAAAATATAGCAAAAAATAATACCAGAATTGATTGGATTCCATTCACGTAATCGAACACCTGAAGGTATTTAACCGGCCTTGACCCTTGCAAGTTGCAAAAGTATGAAATGTTCGGTTACACCCGAACTTAGCCCTTCCTTATTTGTTATATTTTCTGTTACAAAAAAACCTATGTATAAGGTCATAGAAAGGCGTAGTTTCTTACAAACATACATACATATAGAGTCACACATTTTTTTTAATCAAATTTTTTTTTCCATCATTATTTCCTAGTTTTGAAAGCTAGAACAAAATCTTTTGGCGCAACCGTTCAAAATGTTTACGGACGATTTAGAGTGTATTATTTGCTCGGGTTTAACTGTATTAAAAATTTACTCATTATATATTTTATTTCATAACTACACTGTTACATATGTACACACATGCATAGTATCCGTAGTTACAGTGTTGTTTAAACTTCTGCAGATGTATTCGCCGACTTACCGTGAATACAAATTTTTCAAGCGCTCTTTGTCATACACTACAATCAAACGCACATCAGTGAAGTATTTATGTATGCATAATACTTGCTTATAGTAATTTAATAGCATGGCCCATAGATACTATACATACGTAAGTACATATGTAGGTATCTAAAAGCAAAACAAAAAAGTTAGTTAGTAAATAGTTGCATTTTGTTAGTTGATTTGATTTAATTGACTGGTTATTTATATTTAAGTGATGCAGAAATATTACATGACACGACAGTTTGAATTAGATGCGATTAACTTGGTATATAAAGAATGTGTGTGCAACCATATAAATACACATATACATATGTATGTATGGGGGCGGTGCGATAAGTACACACTCAAAACACATTTTCGTACATGGTATCGAACTCGTAGTTATAGCTACCACTTACGATGACATGACAAAAGTCCATGGCAGACCGCAGTAAGCATATCCAAAGACCGCGTAGGGTTAGGTTAGATTAAGAGGTCGATCCTAACAGGGACCTCACTTGGAACAGCTCAGAACGCCGGTCCCTTGTGGTACCTAAAACTCGTATATAACTGATCCTAAGACCCTTACAAATCGACAAAGCACTTTGAGCCTATCACAAATTTGTGGAGACGGCTAATGACAGTATGGGCTATGTCTCTTTAGCTTTGCAAAAGCTGGACAATAGAGGAGATAGTGCCTAGTTGTTTCTACTTCTCCTTCCTCTATACAACTTGTACAATTAGCGTCCAACAATATTTATACCGTTATATCGTTTCCATTTCGATGTGAGCGCGGCAAGGGTGTCCTCTTAATAGCAGCTACTTCTGTTTGAAAAACCTTACAGTTGTTCGGTTGCCTAAAGCTTATTGATCGGCGGAGAGCTCCGTATAGAAAACTTCACTTTCAACTAGCATCGACTCATCCGTGAAAAAGCTCACTGCGCTCCTTCTTCAGAGACTACTTCCCATCCACATATCCCTCGTCGATATGTGATCAGAGAAAAAGCAAGCTACCCACTCCTCCGCTGTGGCCAAGGCCAATATGATCGAATTACACTGCCCCATTCGTCGTATTCACTAGGTTTGGCTACGGGTTTCATAACTTGAAAAAGCCCCGCAGCGGGCAGAAATTTGTGTTTAATGATTATCGCCACAGAGAAACGTATTTTTCAGACGGGTCAAAGAAGTGAGATCGCCGGGTCAAGAACATATAACATATCAAGCTGAAAGCAAATTACGTTGATAAATGAATCGTCATTTTTTTAATAAGTTCCTTTTGCTAAGTACTTATCGGACTGCCCGCAAATGTTTTGAGTTAGTTTAGGAGTTATCAAAAGTCATATACATATCAATTTGTATGTAAATATGTACACAGTCATGCATGTTATAATTGCCAATATATTTTCTTAGATACCCAATTTAATATATACATACATACACATGTGTATACACGCATATATGTCATAAGTAAAAACTACATAGTATCTATGGTACATATGTATATGAGTGGTAGATACTCTTTGACATATAACCGCATTTACGAATAATTACATGCTAAGCTTTTGACTTACATATATTTCATACATTCAATTATATATAGGTATGTATATATATATATGTATGTGAGTACATTTAGTAGTATTATTATACATATTTTATGTACATATATTTTAATGTTTTAATTTAACAAGTTTGGCTTGTTTGAAAAATATTAGGCTAACCGGTGATTTGAATAGTTACTAGCGAAACGAAAATGAAGTTATTCGATTACTAGTAAGTGCAAGAAGAAGAAAACAACATACTTTGGAATTGCTGCCTACAATAATAAAAACTTGCTGAGTGGTTTTATAATACAATTTGCACAAAATTCGTTAGTCGCAAATACTGCATCACTCATAAACTCCCTTAGTTTGAGCTAATACAGTGGCTGAAAAAAGTCTGCGAACATACCCGGATATGGAGTTTTCCAAAAGTTTTAGAAATATTTAACTGCCAGGGGATATTGTACATCAACCGTTCCCTTACAATAAGGGCTGTATGGTAGGGATTGTTATTTTATGCGAACGTCCAGCTGTTTCCAAGTAACAAAGTTTCCACTGAAGTATTTAAATTTCTTTCCAAACCATCCTTGTACACGAATCGTTGTTTTGCATTTGCAATAAATTTAAATTTATCCACCTCAATAGCAGTAGCAGCTGCCTAAACCATAACATCACTGCGACCAAGCTTCACTTCATTATACTGCTACGTGACCTATGCTATAGTAGACTGCTAAGTTTCATTTCTATATATTTACATATATTCACACGATATAACTCCCTGCGACAAATAAATAAATATTTTTTTCTAAAAACGAACATTCCCGTTATTTTTTTAACACACGTCGTACCCATCTATGCACATGTGCATGTACATACTGGTATGTATAGCTAAAAAGTATATATTATTCATAAAATATGCATAAATTAAATACAACAATAATATAATAATGTCAATAAGCGTAAGCATTCTATGCAAATTTTATCTTTTATTTACAGCAGTGTCGCTCAAACTGGCTCCAATTCAACTGTAATAAGATACTGTTATCTGATTATAGGACGAAAGAATGGATAAAAAAAGTAT